GTGTTCACAGTTATTTGATCATGCGGGGACGATTGTTTTGAAAATCAGTGCTTTAAAAGTGAAATAGGTGTGTATCATGACGGTTTTATGGGTCTACCCAGCTGAAAGCGTGAATGTGTAACGTTGAAGAAGGATGGAAATTATTGGCTTCAACTGTGTGCACATGTTCAGTGGATCCCCCTGCACAAAAATACCTCGATCTGCCTCTCTTATTAGTGAATATAACGTATCAAACATATTTTAAAATTTGTGACAATTTTCAAGTTATGTGAGTTTTTCTAGTTCAGTCACCTGATTTGCACAAAAACTTAGAGGGTTGAAGCAAAATTTGACTGAGGGAAGGCTGAGAACAGGAACTTGTCGAACTCTTGCTTTGCACGCGTTGAAGGTTGAAAGTCAGTTTTCCTTTCACGAGCGAAAACAATGGAAACTACTAAAAACAACACTTTTCTCAGGTTTTTAGAGCGAAATAACCTGAGATTAGGCCCAAATGTTTGCAGCTCTCATTTTTTCTTCTCCTTGCTTCCGGAATGTTGTAATTGATCATAATTAACCAAGCTAACGCTGAACCGACCGAGCCAAACGAGAAGAGTGTCATAAAAATCAAACAAAACAACTCAACACAGATGAATCCCGCCAAACATAAGTTGAATCAGATGCATCTGTAGCCGGTGTCTATAGCTGGGTTCTGGCCGTCAATTGAGCCTGCCTTGTGCTAGTTTCTGTTTTCTGGTGACTTTGTTACTGTGTTTTGCATTTTGGGTGTTTGAAATGTTTTTTATTTTCAGGGGCATGCACCCAACGGCAATTTTCGGGAAAATATCTGTTCGGAAGACGATTTGAGATCTAGAATTTTCGGAGCATTTGTTGTAAAATTTCTTGCTTGCCTGCCTCTCCTAGGATTTTCGAACATCTACAAAATGGTATAATTACCCATTTTTAACGGATTTTGACCCTAAAAAAGGCCACCTAGAATTTTCGAGGGCCTTTTCCTGGCTAAATTTTCGAGAAGGTAAGTTTTTATCCCTATAATTTTCGGATCACTAGACTTTCAGCTAGGAAATCCTAACAGATGAAAAGTTTTTAGGGGATAAAAATATGCCTATATCTACCGTTTGAACACTAAAATACGTTCAACAATGCTATGTTAAGTGGTTTTGAACTATATCCTCGTTGGGTGCCCATGTATTTTCTGTTCCTGTTTTGTCTTTTTGTGTTCCTGTTTTATCTTTCTGTTTTGGGTTTTTGCTCCTGTTATGAGTTCCGGTTTTGTGATTGAAAAATGGCTTTAATTTTTTAAGACATATGGTATCGGTCGTTTGTTGTCTCGTGTTTTTTGTCTTCTTGCCGAAACGACTTGAGTTTACCGACGTCCGTTTAGAGAAGATGTAACCACACAACTACGAGTTTTTCTTTCTCTTTTTTAACCTAAGTACAGATCTTAAGAATTCAGCTCCAGGAAAATTTTGGCCGCCATAAATGACTTTTAATATGCGAGTTGGGATAATTGCGATTAAGTTTGAAAGGACGCGAATTCATTTTTTATGCTAAGTATCGTTAAGTAACGTTTTTGCTGCCCTCGCCAACGTGGTAGCTTAGAGCTCCCTAATGTTTCTACAAACTGAACGTAGCCAACTATTTTTGCCTTTTAAGCCCGGTTGGTAGTAGTGCTGAAGGAGCAAGGACGTTGGCAACCTCGTTCCTATGGCTCTCTCCTACCCGCCCTACGGAGCGAGAGAGAGAGAGACCCTGGAAAACGCTGGTCACGTGTCTCCCAGAATCTGGGAGATTGCAAACAAACGATTTGGGGGAGGGGCAGGTAAGTGTGAGATTTGTCTCTTCAGAACGTAGACAGGTCAGTGCAGCGCGGGGGGAGGGGGGAGGGAGGGGATTGAAGACATAATAGCAAGCCACGTAAACGCTCACCTGTAAACAACTACAGCACAGCCTTTCCGGTTTATTTTAAAATGTTACCTTATGAATAATAAGCTGTGAGTTATCAACAAAAGCCTTTGAATTCTTAATAAAGATTTCTATTCGCACATGTATATCTCTCAAGTTCATTAGAGAGAGAAGTATCTTTTTACGTGATTGGCTTGTATGCACTAGAGCTGGGAATCAGCTGTTTTCTCAGTCCATCGTAAATCGTACGTATGGCTTTTCACCCTTCTCATAGTGCAAAATCATGGTTTACCATTTACATGTGCAAACCAGCAGTCGGTTCATGATTTGGGTAAATGGTGAGAACAATTCAGGACTGGCAAATTTCATCCTGGAATCGCGTTTACCATATTGTACGAATCAGTTCCATTTACCAAAAAACTGCTTCGAAAACCTGAAACTGGTATCAAAGATGGCTTTGGTAAAGAAATAGAACACGAATTCAGTTCCCTTTGAAACATGCCGTCTGGAAAAATATGACAGCCCTGAGTACCTTTTCAGCGTTGCTCCCGGAAATTTTCCAATAAAGCGATCTCAAAAGTTGTGTTCCATTTACCCTCCAACCGGATTGTCCGTAAACTTTTTTAAATTGTAAACAACCCATCTGAAGTCGCAGCAGGTAGACACTGACATGGCGAGGAGAAAAATGAGCATTGTGGCGACGCCGACTTTCTCAGGCCCGGTTCAGACGCCGAACTTTTCATGAGCCGAACCTAATACATTGAATTAAGTACATGAAAAGTTCGGTGTCTGAATCAGTTAGGAACGCCTGTTTCAATTTGGAACGGCTCAGCCGTTCTTTTCGCCTAGCCCGGCCGAGAATTTCGTCTTTGGAGTGACTTTGGAACCGCTTTGATTCAGACGCCGAACTTTTCACGTACCGAACCTAATGCATAAATCATTATAACGTATTTTGTAAGCAGTTTGACCGAAATGAGCGTTTTTCACCTTATGAACTTAGTTCAGCTGCAATTAAGAACGGCGTCTGAATCAATTCAGCCGGTCTAAAGAATTTGGGTCGACCTTAATTCGAATTAGGGTCGGCTCATGAAAAGTTCGGCGTCTGAACCGGGCCTCAGTTGTAAGGTCTTCAACTGTTTCGCTTAGTGTATCGTCTTAGTTGTCAAATACATGTTCAAATGTAAGGCAACCGTTTCAGTGCAGAATAACTATAGTTAACCAGGATATGAAAGTACCGTATTTTTCTCGAATAATAGCCGACGGGGGCGATTATTTCTTTTTCCGCACAAAAGGGGGCGATTATTCAAGGGAAGGCGATTATTTCAAATAGTGGTCAGTGGAAGTCGTGCTCTAAAAATTTTTTTTTTATTATGCCATTAAATCAAAAATTAATCACATCAAATTTACTGAACGTGGGATGCCCGGGGGGGTACTTAAGGAATTTTTGAGTGGGAATGTGCCGCTGGGACCCTGGAACCCTTAACCTATACTAGAGCTAGTTCAGCTAAATTTTGCTACCCTATACTAGAGTAAACTCCCCAACTCCCCCTATCCTAGAGTAGCAGTTTCTCTGGTCTAGATAAAATCTTCAACCAACTGATCAGTTTCCTGAAAAATGATACCCTATTCTAGAGCCAAACGCTCTGATTTATATACCCTATCCTAGAGTAAACTGCTTGAAAACCATACCCTTCACAGCGGCACATACCTATATAGCCAATATATGGCAGTACCCCCCGGGGTGGGATGGAACATAATTTTTAAAGTCTAATAACCATCTCCCACAGAGTCTGGCAGCCTGTGATAAATCAATCAGTTTTATGGCGTCAGAGGCCACTGCATTATCCACATGAATGTCAAAATTCCCCGATATCAGGAGCTGTTCCTTGCACAATACTATAGACTCTAAATAATCAGCGAGCTCCGAGAACTGGAATGTGTTGGTGGCTCCCTGTGCATATCGAAATAAGGTGGTCGATAGAGTCCTGGTAGAACGCGGAGGTTATGAGAGGATGGCTGCTACAATCCACTCAGAAAACTCAAAAGATTCTTTCTCGCCGGCACCGATCTTTTTCACATGAAGTGAGTCGCGATAAAGAAGAAGAGCTGTTCCGCCCGCCACCAGTGCGGTCAGTGCGTGGTTGGTCGTAAAGCTTGTAATTTATTGGGCACAACTCATTTCTTACTGCATCATCATTTGCATTTAGCCAAGTCTCTGTGACTCCCGGGGGGGTTACTTTAGGAATTTCTGGGTGGGGATGTGCCGCTGGAACCCTGGAACCCTTAACCTATACCAGAGCTAGTTCAGCTGAATTTTGCTACCCTATACTAGAGTAAACTCCCCAAATCCCCCTATCCTAGAGTAGCAGTTTCCCTTGTCTAGATAAAATCTTCAACCAACTGATCAGTTTCCTGAAAAATGATACCCTATTCTAGACCCAAACTCTCTGATTTATATACCCCATCCTAGAGCAAACTGCCCGAAAACCATATCCTTCACAGCGGCACATACCTATATAGCCCATATATGGCAGTACCCCTCCCCCCGGGCTGTGATTGCAAGCAGATTTAATTTACACTCACAAACGAAGTCGAAAATGTCGGCTAATTTATTTCTCAAAGATCGAGCGTTCATTCAGCAGAAAGACAACGAGCGTTTGAAATCCCTAACCAGAGGCAAGCGATTCACGAGAATTAGCTAGGTTGCACGAATTCCTTGATTGCACAGACGGAGGTGCTTCTTGAGTACCATGCGAACATAGCCTGTTGACAGACGTCCCCCTCGCCGGAAGGGGACGTCTAGGTCTGTACGCAGACTACAACAGGCTATGCGAACCAAGAGTACGCCGGCGAAACATACGTACGGACGATTTTCTCAGAACCAAAATTTCTTGGATGCCAGGAGCCAATCGGCTCCCTGGCTCCTATGGTGCTCCGCTGCGAGCGCGAGAGCTCCGCTATACCCTGCTTTGAAAAAGACGCGTAAACCATAAGAAAACCAATATCTCGGTACACTACAGGAATCATATATTAAGTACCTACATTGAAATGTCCAACGCCCGCTGGTAGAAAAATATTAGGGTCTCATTTTTGTAAACATGGCAGACGAACAAGAATCAAATTTGCGCGTTTTGACCCTTAATTGCTGGTAATGTGGATTGATTGTCGTAACTTACTTTTAATCAGTGCTTCTTTAATCAAAAAATCCAGTGCTATTTATTTAACTTTTCACTGTTTTTCGTACGTTTGGAGTTGAGTCAATTCAGGTCTATGAAGGTTGCCTGTGGGAATGCTTTTTATAGGGTCGTTTCATTTTTTCCGCACCCCACCTCAGAAATACGACGTCTCAGTTTTTTATCGTCTCCCGTTGAAAAATGAAATTCGAGGGGTTGATTGTTTGACCAGAATTGTTGCTACTCTATTTGAGACGCTCTTAAATGCATGTGAGGTATGACCCGCGGGTGTATATGAAAATTTTAAACAGCGTGGCGGGGGGCTAATAAAATTATGCTGTTATGTCCCATGCTTACCAAAAGAATTTCATCCTAAGTGGTCATGATTGTTTAAGCCTAATAAAAGAATAAATTTTGTAAACACAAGCATCAAAGTCTATTTTACACTTTAAGAAACTCCATAAAATTTCAGTTTGGTACTAAAACCTTTGAAATTGCATGGTTTAATTGCTTTTAGTTGTAGTCTATTTATACCTGAAATTGTTGATTTTCCATACATCCCATCTTTTTACTTTTTGATTGATTTCTAGAAAAGGAAATATTATGGTCACTTTAATTCCATTTGTTTACTTGTGAGAGCTATCTGTTATTAATTGGTGTGCTGCATTACTAGGGGTATTCCTTATGTGTCAAAGATGTGGGCAGAGCGTAAACTTCTCATTTCTGAGGAACTAGCAAAAGGTCATTTTGACATTGTTTCACTTCAAGAGGTATAATTCAATTTAATTTCATTTGCTGTTTTTTGCTTCAGTAGGCATCATCAATTTTGTAATATGCAGTAATACCTGTTTGCAAGGAATGAAATGTTTTTTAAATTTAAGGCAGGCAGTTTGTGTTTTTTTTTTTCAGAAGATGACCAACCTCTCTCCCTCCTAGAAATTTAAGGGGAGGTTGATACCAACCATTAAAAACTTTGGTCTCAAGTACCCCTGCTTCCTCCCTCAAAATTTCCAGTGACCGTCAATGGAGTGTGTATGGATAAATTCTGAAACAACAGTTTTCCAATTTTGATGTTGCAGATTTGGAGTAGAAGTGATTTTGAATTGATAAGTGACAAGGTTGAAGATGTTCTTCCGTACTCGCATTACTTCTACAGGTGCTGTCAAAGTTTAAGTATCTCTTTTTCCTGAGTTTTACCCTAAGGGATGTTTGCACCCATCATAGTTCTTGTGGTAATTTTAGGCCATGACAGTTTAAGTCATTATTGAGTTATTTGTGCTTGATTTTACAATGGTGTTACTTTATTCATTGTAAAAGTGAGCTGTTATATATTTTGGTTACAGTTGAACCTCCATTGAGCAGTCATCCTCAGGATACTGGCAACTTCCTGCTTAATAGAGGTTGGCTGCTCAATAGAGGTTTGTCATAAATTAGCATAATCTTTTGTAGAAACATTACTTTATTTTGCAACAGACACAACACGGGATTGCTACTAATGGACCAGAATCAGTCATCCTCTTCTTTCTCAACTGTGTTTTCCTTTTTCATTAGTTTTTAAAATAAATTAGAGTCAAACTAAGTATATCAAGTGTATAATGGCACTTTGATTACTGGCTGCACAACAGAGAGTGGAAGCTTATTAGGGAGCTGTTAAATAGAAGTCCATCTGTATTATCTCCCCCTATCAAGATCTATAATTAACAGCAACAACTGCTTGAAACACAATTTTCTTTAAAGTTTCTGCACCATTTATTTATTGATGTTATTGGCAGGTGTGCAGCCTGTGTGAGTGAAGGTTTGGTCATGTGAACCCTAATACTAATTCTAACTCCTTTACCCTCTGATTTCTGCACCTGTAAATTTAACCCAGCATTCAGTATGATTATATTTTTCTTGGTTTCTTTTGGTTGGTTCTTTAATACTAGTAGTCTACAGGTAGATGACCAGTTTTTGCTTCATTGTCCCTGCTTTATAATGTTTTGAAATTGTAACTTTATAGCCTTTATACAGGCTCTCCTTCTCACCTGTGCAGTAGCTGACTTGTTTTGGGGCTAATATCTTCGACATTATTTTGTTGCTATATATGACAAATAAATAGACCTTTTTACTGATACAGTGGCCATATTGAATTCATTAAAGTTAAGGAGTATTATGGGATGCCCAGGGGGCACTCATTCAGTATTTATGCAAGCTTTTTGGGCAAAAAAAACTTCACTGTTTTTTCTTGGGAAAAAGGCGATCATTATTACACCCAAACACGGCGCAACGATCTTTTTTTCTCATTACAATCTTTTTGTGGGAAAACTCAAAGAAAAATTGGCCCAACTGGTGCATATGAATACTGAGCAAGTATATCGGATCGCGCTCATGCCTCCTGGGCATCCTATAATACTCCTTAATTCTAATTAATTCAGTATGGCCACCATATTGGTAAAAAGGTCTGTTAAATCTATTTCTTAGTATATCAGTCTCTCTAAACTTTTTTCTCTCAGTGGGGTGATTGGCAGTGGAGTTTGTGTGTTCTCACGGTATCCTATCATCGATGCATTCATTTATCGTTACTCATTAAATGGCTACATGTATAATATCACTCATGGAGATTGGTTTGGAGGCAAAGCCGTTGGCTACTGTCTGATTGATCATCCTAAGCAGCCAATTCATTTCTTTGCTTCCCATGTAAGTTTGTGCACTTATCAGCTGTGTCTGAGGTTTAACCAAAGTAAATTAAACAATATCTCGTAAAAAAAACATCCCTTTCTTTTTAAACGATAATATGTATTTAACAAAAAAAAAAAACTACACCACTGAAAGTCATCTGTTTTCCCTTCTATACACTAAATGTAGTTTGTTAAGCTGTCTTAGCAAAGTAAGACTGCTGAGTGAATCAATGAACAGGCAGTGAAAAGAAAAGATAGAATGAAAATAAACTACATGTAAAATGAGAAGGAGGCTGAGGAGGAAACTGAAAAAACAGTTGACCACTACAGAAAATACCAGAACATACCTTAATGCTCTTTGTTTGTCACCCCAACATTTTGCATAAGCATTGTTTTCTGATTCTCTTGGGGCCATTTTAATTTCTAAGAGAAACTGAAGACAATGCTCATGCAAAATTTTGGGGTGACAAACAAAGAGTATTATGGTATGTTATGGTATTTTCTGTAGTGGTCAATTATGTTACTTATAGTGAAAACACTCACTAACATGTCTTACCATTCACCATCTACCATAAATCCTCTATCAACCCCCCTCAAATAAGCCCTCCCTCTCTAATTAATAAACCCCCCATTTTTAGGGGAAGAAAGCTATTATGCCCCCTCCCTCCCCTCCCTCCTTATTCTTCACTATTAAAGGGAACCTCCACTTCAACAAAAAGATAACTTTAAATCACAGGAAATAACTGTTACAGTCAAGTCAATCTAAAATATTTTTAAAGAAAGCTTTTGTATCCGAAATAAATAACTTTTAGATTCGCCTATTTTTGTTTTCAAATTTTCATCAGATAACAACAGTCCACAAATGAACTGACTACCCGAGAGAAACAGAACCAGTTAGTACAAAATGAAAATGATGAAAATTAGTCCATCTTGAATAATTGTGAACGTGTAATGGTTGCCCCATATTGTTATTAAACAAAAAGCTCTTTGTGTCAGAACAATAGAGCAACTGTGACACGTCACAATTAGTCAAGATGGACTCGAAATGGGAAACGAAGACTCATACCGTCGACAGTCGCCTTCACTTCAAATGGTTTGAAATCAAAACCACAGCGCTTTTGAACTTTGAAAGTCTAAGGTAGAATATTAATTAATTAGTAAGAATTTAACTCGTTTACATCGCATGATCGCTGCCTGACCCTCAAAAACAAAAAAAATAGTACATGTACGCTGGCGTCCATTCATTTGAGCGGCAAAGGAAACAAGTTTTTGCGGCGCTTTGTCACACACGTCACGTCATGTCTCAAGAGGGATTTTCTGACTCCGGCACTCGAGTATTTAATATTTCCACATGAAATATGGATCGCTCCTTCAAAAATTTTATCAAAGTGACAAAGGAAACATAAAATGCTTTAATGTAATGTCTTTTAAGCCTGGCGTGCCCTGTCCAAATCACCGGCAGTCCGATTGGATTTGTTTATCGGTTTTAAACAGTAAGTTAAATTCAAAGTGAAAATAATTAAATGCGGCTCCTCGCCTCTTGCCTCGTGCTCATTTTAAAATTCACTTTTCCTGATATAAACACTTTTTTTTTGAAGACAAATTTCACAAACAAATTTGTTTATCAACATAATTTTATTCGATTTAAACTTATTCTGTAGTAAGAGTGGAGGTTCCCTTTAAATGGACTGATCCACTATGGTTTATTCATAAGCTGGAAGTTCAGATTTGTTTTGATATCTGGTTGCACGACCTCTAACGTCATGTGCTTGAGCATTTCAACTTTGTGTCCTAGTTCTTTATGGAGAATTGATAGCATCTTCTCAGGATGTTTGAAAGAACACAAAATGCCCCATTTTGGTAAATTCATTAAGCCCCCTCCCAAATAAGCCCCCCCTCAAACACACTTGAAATAAATAAGCCCCCAATGCTATGAAGACTGAATAACAGGCATATAATGTTAACAAAAGTAGATGATTTCAATTGTGCTGTAGTAATATTACAGTCTAATGTATTACCTGTTTTATTTGGATTCTTACTATGCACTATTAACTTCATTTAATTATTATAATAGTTACATGCATCATATGGTCAAAGAAACCAGTATGTGCCACACCGAACTCTACAATCATACCAGCTTTCACAGTTTATTCAACTTTTGACGAAGCCAACTGACTCTGTCATAGTTTGTGGAGACATGAACTGTGAGCCATCAGATTTGGGATACAGGATTATTAGGGATGTCACTGGATTGGTTGATGCTTGGGACAAACATGGCAAAGTTAAGGTACCTAGTATCTTTTAGGTTTGGGTTTTGTCAAAAAAATTGTAATACACAATATTTTAGGGTTCACTCTTTCCATAGTTTCTGTTTTTGCTAATCAATTGGCTGCTTTAGGCACATAGTACCATTTAACTATAACCATCTGGGTATCATTTTCATCATAATCATCATTATTATTCATGACATGATCTATTTGTTCAATGATTCTTGCAATGTAAAGTAAAATAATATTGTCCCAACTAGATTGTTTTGTACTATAAACTTAATTATTGAACCTGCCTTGTAAAATGATATACATACATACATTATTCAGCATGTCCCCATCTGGGACTTTTCAGTGATCATTATAGTATTTGCATGTAGTAAAAATTAAAAACTGTAGATAAAACCTACCAGTTTTCACAGAAATTGAATAAACTACATTAAAATAACTACCGTAAAATTCCGAAAATAAGCCCCTCCATGTATAAGCTCCTCCAATTAATATAAGCCCCCCAAACCAGTAATGTGAAAAAACCCTCCGTTAAATCGCCCCTCCGAATATAAGCCCCCCAGGAGGCTTGTACTTGGAATTTGCCCTCGAATACAGAGTAAAACAAAGCAAAAATGGTAAATTTCCTTCCCACTACAAGCTAGCCCAATCAAGTTTGAAATGCAAATTTGCATCCGTACATAAGCCTCTCCAAATAAGCCCCCAAAAAAAAAAAAACCCTAAATAGCCCCTCAAATATAAGCCCCGAAAAAATATAAAAATTGCCCTCAAATACTTAAAATAAAACAATTTTATGGTAACTATAAGGTTAGCCCAATATAAATTTCCCTCCGTCATAAGTCACAAATACAAAAAAATATTGAACTTGAAAAACTGATGAACAGTTGGGACTCGTAGATATATATTTTTTAGCAACTAAGATAATTTGCAGTCTGTCTACTTTGAATTGATATAAAAATTTGTTCAGAAGATGGTTTTTTAAAACTCTCTTAAAGAAAGCAGGATTCTTGCATAATTTAAAGCTTGAATCTAGCTTTTTCCAGTTAGATTCACTTCCATACGCTGCCTCTTGTAACAAATTTAGATGTTAAGAATTCAGGCATGTGACCTGCCATACATTTAAATGTTAAGGTAGCATCGCGATAATACAGATTTGTTTTTACTGAAAGCCAACGTAGATTCCTAATATTGGAGAGATATGGTTATACTTCTTTACATTGCAAATGATTCATGGGGAAAAGTTTTGAATGTATCGTAACTTATTACGAACATTACAATCTGAGATGGCTGACCATACTGATATGACGAACAGTAATACAATTTCCTGAGAACAAGAGCATTTTCAACCTATATATAGCCAAAGTTGAAGGAAGTTACTAGTATGCATATACTTTGCTGTACAAGTATATTTGCATAATAAAAAGAACTAGTAACATTGCCTTTATTTCACTAATCAATGTCATTTTTCCTTTAGCCTGGTTGTTATGGTAATACATCAGATGTCAGCCATAACACCTTCTGTGGAAATCCACAACGCCCTCAAAAGGGTGGACCAGATGATGGCCACCGTATTGACTACATTTTCTACCGCTGTGCTGAGGATAAATTAGAATGTATAGATTGTGAAGTAACCATGGGGCTTGTTCCAGGAAAGAACTTCTCCTTTTCTGACCATGACGGTGTTGCAGCTTCATTTGTTGTAAAGGATTCTGAGGTTGAAAGGACAGGTACTTTGAAAATTAAAATAATTTGATATGTTCAGCTTTTCTTTATGTGGTTGCTTTATGGAGTCATTTAAAGAGACATCTCAGAATTTCAGACAGATCTTAAAGCACCAGATGATTTCCTGCATGATATCTTCTTGACATTTTCCTTTCCAATTTTGTTTCCTGATTCAACTGTTTTTAAACCTTCCAAAACTTGCTCCAAGAAATCTCCATGCTATTCAATCTCATTATTTTGTAAGTTTGAGAATTTTTAGTCACTCAGGTCACACCTTAGTGCACTTTTTGAAAGTACAAAAATTTAGGTTTCTCACATGCAGGTACAGTAAACAGAGGTCAGTGGATACTGTCAGCTTTGGTGGTTCATTGGTTTAATTTGTTCTTTGTTTTTGATACTTCACAAGGGCCAATCCCAGACATAAAGAAGAATCAAGAAGCATTATCAGAGACCCAGACTGTCATCTCTGCAGCTCTTGATAGATTATCAAGTTATAACTACTTACAGACATTCTTTGCTTGTGCCATGTGTTTCTTTGTCATATCACCCATTTTTTTTCCTGTTACTCAGCACTCACCTTTGTCCCTGCATCATGCTGCTGGCAAAATATTGTATCTCTTTCGCCTTGTTACAACTGTCATACTCAGTGGCTATTTCTTTTACTTGATATTCGATGCAAGATTGGAGTACAGTGCATACAAAAGTGTGCAGCAAATGATTGATATACAGCTCAAGCAGATCAGCCCTAGAAAAAGGATGAAAGGGAACTCTTGTTTATAGTAAACACAAACAACAAATTTAAAAATGTTAATTTGATTCAACTGTGAAGCTCATAATAATGTGAACGCTGAGGAAACTGTTTTGGCCAGAATGTTATTTTGTTGCGCGGTAAGAACCAATCATGCAGGCATGGAAAAACTAAACTGCAAGCAGTAACGGTCATAAGTTTGTGGTTTTGTGGGCTTGCTTGCATTAATTTCTCCTAATCTTCACTGTGAGTGGTCACAAACACAGTAAACATATTTCCCGAAATAATTCAGGTGTTCACAGGTTTACTAGACTGACAGTAACGGACTGTCCAAACCATGTGCACCTCTACTGTCGGTAATAGGGAGATTAATCTACAACGCGGGATGGTGACAGCTACAAAAATGTACCTAAAAAGGGAAGTCACGCTGGCTTTGTTGCGCTTATTCCATCTTGTTCAGTGCATCAAATGTTGGCAGTTTTTTTCTGGAGTTGAATTCTAAGTGACGTCAGGCCTGAAGTGACGTATGCGTGGAAGAAAAAGAAAAGGAAAGTTGTTGTCTTGTGTTCACATCCCCCACAAAATGTGAAATTACGCACTTTCACGTTGTAGTCGTGCAGTGACAGCAAAGAAATGTACCAAAAAAAGCATGATGCACCTGCAGAGTTGTTGTTCTGCCAATATAGACTTATTTCTTTTGTCGTTCTTGCTGACCTTGCTGTTGTTGTTGCTTAAACTCCCTACTATCTAAGTCAGTCGCCCATCAGTGTCCAATAATGCTTGTACCGTAAAAGAAATTCAAGAAGACTTTTTATCGAATTCCATTTTGGCACTAATCCCTTACATCCCTGTAAGTTCAGAAGTTATAGTTACTATTAGACAACATGTCCTTATAATTTTATCTCAGTGTATCTACCTCCTTATGCAGAGTAAGGTACAAATAAAACAGTAAAGATAGTGTTATTGTTGCTGATATATAACTATCTCAGATTTTGGCAGATTTTTAAATTAAATATTCTGTGGACCTGCAACTTACTGCTTGGAAAGTATCATCTTAATAATTTACCAAAAAAATTCTGAAATTAGTACAGTGACAAAATTTATCGTCTTGTTATAAATGACTTATTTTTCTTAATAAACTAAATAATATCACAAACATTGATGTGTATGTTGTGTTATAAAGTTATCTTTAGTTTAAATTATATCTGTGCCTTGTTCTAATGGATTTATCAATATACTAACTATGTAGAAATAAACGCTATTCAAGTAGCAGTGAAAAACGAATCTTCAATAGAGGGAGGGATTGAGATAATCTAGTCTGTCCTTAAAAGTTCCAATGGATCTTTCGCATTTAATTCGTCTGGTAATGCATTCCCGACTTTTGCCCCAATGTAAGGAAAGCTGTTTTAACTGCTGGCAAGGCTAGATCCTAAGATTATATACCAATCGCCTGATGTTACTCTGAATCATTTCCACTGAATATAGGCTGGAGTCATACCATTTATAATTTTAAACATCATAAGAACTTTTTGTTTGTTTCTTCTCTCTTTTAGATTAGACCAACTCAGCTTATATAATAATTCAGTTGTGGCGGTGTCATGTAATGAGCACCAGTGACCACATGTGCAGCGGGATTTTGTAACCTTTGAACTTTCTCTATGAGACAGACACTGACGTCATCCCATACAATACTGCAATAATCAAAGTATTGTTCATTAATTTACTAATAAACGCTTGTCAAATTTGAAACTGGAACAAAAGCCCTAATCCTTTTTAAGACTCTTATACCAGATGTTACTTTTTTAAGACACTAGTAATTTGGGAGTTCCATGCCAAAAACTCATCAATTTCTTTACCTTAACATTTGCGGCTACTGCCTACTTGTTTTTAGCGAAATTCCATTTATAGGAATATTGAGCCCTTGAGTAAGAGTTGCTTTTCTTTGCCTTGAATCAACTAGCATATATTCCGCTTTTAAACGTTTAAAGCAAGCCTGTTTGCTATCAGCCAATTTTGAGGGTATCGTAAATCTACATTGACTTTTGTAGTTCAGAGATACTGCAAACAGAGTAAGTCAAATTAGTATCATCTGCATACATTCGTGTGGTAGCAGTGGGACTGGCATAATGCGTTATATTACAAAGATCATTTATCTATATATCAGAAACAAAGGTGACCCAAGAATTGAACCCTAGGGAATACCACATTTTAGAATGGATTTCTCGGAGAGTATTACGTAACTTGAAATCTGTTAGGGTGTGTTCCTTTCGGTGAATCCAAAAACGGATTTTAGATCTAAAAACGGATTTCGCGTTCCTTTCGGCAAATCCAAATCCGGATTTTTGATCTGGTGAATCCTTTTTGAAAAAGGATTCACTGGATTTGAAATCCGAAGAATCCAAATCCAGATTAACGGATTAGTGATCTACGCCGTTCCACTCACAGTGGATCCGAAATTATTCAGATGATCCAGCGGTATTTTCAGTTGAAGTATTCCCATAGAGGTCGTAGAGTTTCCTCGTTGCTGTCATTTGCCGCAAAACATCTGAAAACATTAGAAGATTGTTCCTGGTACATTAAAATATCCATATACTAACCATTTGTCTCTAAAGATTGCTTGAAATCAGAAATAAGTAAAAGTAACAAATGAACTGCTATCTAACTACAAACTCGCTTGTAGACGCGACAGGCGTTCGATCGTGCTACATAAAAAAATCCGAGCTATGGAACTGGATCAAACTGGCAGACATTCTTTAGATAATTTTCAATTTTAATGCTTCTTTCTTTGTCTGTTTTATATGTTCCATCGTCGCTATTCGAACTGCCGACCACTAAATTCTGCACGGTATAATCGCATAATTTGTCAAACAGTAGAAAACACGTCATTTTTTGTTAAACAGATACGATTTTTAAAGACCATTTTAACGGGCAGCCACGAACTCCGATATATATAAAACTCTAATTTTGTCAGTAGAAGCTCGTGATCTATTGTGTCAAAGGCTTTCTTAGAAATACAACTCCACTTTAATTATCATTCCCTTGTCTATATTAAAACACCATTGATTAGTAAGATAAAGAAAGGCGGTAACTGTTGAGAGAAGGAATCTAGAGCCAGATTGACATGGTTGTAACATGTTATTTGTAACCACTGCAAATAGTGATGGCGGAGCTCTCTCGCGCGCGGCGGAGCACCCTGGGTACGAAAATTTGGTAATCTATTACATCCACGGGGTACGTCCGTACGTACCGTCCACCCCTTCATGTAAGCCGGGATGAGATGTTGCATTTCAAGCAGCCGTGCGTTTCGGCCGTAATGTATCGGTCAAATCGAAGCTTCAACATGCCCCCCCCCCCCCGGGCATACCCCGGGCATTTGACACCTTTGACGTCCCGGGGAGGAGGGAGTTTGATGATCAGAGTCTTCCAGGGGGTGGGGAATTTGATCCCCAAGCCTTAGGGGTGGGGAATTTGAACTGCACCCTCGATTTCATGTAAAATCTTTGGCGTGGTGAGCTATCATGGGGAACGCGGTGTTAGAGGATTTTCGTGGAAAAGATTGTGCCTTTGTGGCCAATTGGTTACGAGGAAAGGGCTTAAGCAAGCTTTGTGCCGTATTTGAAGTATTTAAATTTTAAAATTGTTAATTGGATTCAGGCTTTGAATGTATGAATGTATTTTATTGTTGTGTTTACATTGAAATACAATACCTATACCAGCGATTCAATACAACAACATAAAATAAAATAAAATAAAAAGTTCAGGTCAACTACTTTGACCTTCTGCAAGTATGTTAATTAATAAGGTGAGCGATGATGCATGTCAGTGAAATGGTTATGATGTAGTAATCTCAATAGGTGGAATCTTTTTTTTATAGAACGCTTTGTATGTTGCACGACGAAGAAAAGCTGAACATTCAGTGACCTTGTAGCTGCGATTTCCGCCGCTTTGCACGAGAATTTTTTTCGTAGGAAATACGCTAACAGTTTCTCTCAGTTTTTGTTATATTTGTAAAGATTTTGTTCGACAACTGAGGGCGTTTCCGCCGTTCCTCTGTCATTTTTGTGCCTGTGAAATGTCCCCAGGGTGGGGGCATTTGGTCACCTGAATGGACCCTAGTATGGGGTATTTGAACAGCATTTTGGCCCGGGTAGGGGGGAATTTGAACAATAATTTTCAAAAAAGTCAAATGCCCGGGGGTTGCCCGGGGGTGCATGTTGAAGCTTCGATTTGACCGATACATAAATCGCATAACTTCCCGGCCTTTTAGAGATAAAAACAACAACAACAAATACGATTCTTTCTTTCGACTTGATTTCAATGTCTACATTACCGTGGACAACAGAGAAAGAGCTAGAGCGAGAGATAAACACCAAAGGATACCAATTTCGTTGGAAGAAAAACAAAAAATTTATCGCGGCGGTGAGAAAAAGGGGAAATGCTAGCTGCCACTTGGGTGAAAATGAGCGGCGTAACTAGGAAGTTTCTGGAAGTTTCACGTTGTAGTCGTGCTAAACAATGACAAAGAAGTGTACAAAAAAAGCTTGCAAAGTTGTTGTTTGCTAATTAAAAAAAAGTGTGCTGCACGTACTCTGCTGCACGTACAAAGTTTTTTTGTTGGCTAATTAGACCTACTGATTTTTTTGGCTGTTTTCGTTGCCTTCGCCGCTTGGCGTTACATAATTTTATATTTTGTTTAGTAAACTATAGATTTTAACGAGAGCTTCGCTTTAAGCCCTGGCTAAATCTATATATTAGACTTGTTCATAGACTATGATCATGACTAGCTTTTCAAAGACCCTGGATGTGGTTGATAAGACTGATAACGTTCCGTGACCTGCTTTGAGAACTGGAAAAGCCACAACAAGCTTTAAAAGTAGACCTTTCACTCCATGAGGGAAACAGCATGTTTTTCAAATAAAAAGTCCTTGAAACAAACAACAAGAAAGAAAACACGCTTTATTTGAGTATTTGAGCAAAGAAAAACAAATTATCGAAGACAATAATTTACGTTACCGTAATGTTTTTTATCCAAGAACTGAAACCGACACTTAACAAACAGTGCGATTCAATTCGCGCCAAATTATTTGTTTAGAGTAGTTCTTGTTAACATTGTTTTATTTCCATTGTTTTTTGACTTTATAAATATTTTTTTAGCACTTTTTACATTTTTACATATTTTATCACATTTTAGCGTTCACCACATTTTTATCTATTATAACTTGCTTTTAACTTATCTATGCTAATTTAGAGAACTTTTATACACTTGAAAATGACCTCGGAGAGGTCGAAACGTCGTGATTTTTTATCGCTAATATTTATCGCAAAATCGATTTCTAAGAAACTACTTATTAAAACAAAGAAAAAACGGTAAATTTACTTCCAACTATAAGGCTAGCCCAAGCGATTTTGAGAAACCCTCCGTAGATAAGCCCCTCAGAATATAAGCCCCTCCAAAAATAAGCCCCTCAAAAAGGGCCTTTGAAAAATATAGCCCCGGGGCTTATTTTCGGAATCTTACAGTATCTCTTACTGGGGATGAGACTGCCATTTTTCGTGGTCAAAGGTCTAGCAGTTTGCAGGGCAAAGGTAGTACCTTATTCATTTTTTAGCTATTTAAGGACAGGGCAGTGCAATATGCATATTACGGACCATTGTTTTTAGGGTTAGAAAACAATGGGACTATTGTTGTCAGGTACTAATTGAATAGTCCGCAGTCTACGTTTTACACTGACCGTTCAAGGACTCTCAGTATTTTCCCAGTCCTAGGAATCGAACAAACAACAACCAACAATCTCCCATTCTGCAAGCACTCTACCAACTGAGCTAGTCCGGTCCTGCCACAGTAAAGATATCAGTTTAAGACCTTAAAATCAACTAGTTCAAAATGTGCTGATATAAACTAGGCATATCCTCAAACTAGTGGAGTATATAATGAAGTCTAGGGTAAAACAAGTATCATTCTTCACTCAGGTCATGGAAAAAAGATGAAATCTCCTCATATGGAACACATATCACTTTATCCTTTTATTGAGGCTTTACTGCATATCTAATTTTGCAGCTCTTCATCCACAGATTCAAGTAACATTTCTCTTACACCTTAAAAAAGGCATCAAGTTGTAGAATTGGTCAAATAAATAATCCATGATGGGGATAACAATATAATTAATATGACTTCAATAGCAGATTTTTACAAGACAACTGCATAGAAGTTTATCCAATACTCACAAAATTGAGGCAGAATATAAGCTCTTCTGCTCTATTTTTGTCTAAATACTTTAAGAAATTATGCACCTGTGGAGCCAGTTAAGTGAAATTCATCCACTTGGGTCTGTCTATCAGCCTGGTCTCAGGTTGATATACCCCATGTGTCGACCACTTATCATGCTCCTGCAGGCCACTGGGGGCAGGCTAAAGGAGGAAGGATTCAAGAACCTACAGGCTGAAATTTGGCATTTAAATACCCAAAAATATAAAAACCTGTTCAGCCTGGCAAAGATCGGCAAAGAAACATAGGTTTTTATACAAAAAAAAACTCCAATTTTGATGGTCAAAATTCTGGATTTTAATTGTGTGAGAAACTTCTGACAAAAAGGTACTGTGTATACGTTTTCTTTGATTTACATTTGTTTGGATTTTCACCAGAAACAGGTTTTTTGTAAACCACTATGTAGTAGTAGTACAATATTTCTGCCAATGCATGGTTACACTACAACAACCTCTGAAAAATAAGAACCTAGTCAGCCTAAATAATTATTGTGCAAAACTATGCTAAAATATAAGAACCTGTTCAGCCTGACTTCAAAAAATTCTAGGTTCTTATATGCGGGTTTTTACTGTATTTGGTGAATCCAAAGAGGTGAAAAGGTGGCCATATTCACACAGTTTAGTATGAGTCACAGGCAAAATCATCCTAACTTCAGTAACTGATGGAAAAGGATGGGAAAAGTGAAAACTGTATGACAAGCAACATGATGATTGCACTGCAACAAAGAAAGCTTGAAAGAGGCTGTTTTATTTGTTAGTACAAAGAACTGTCAGTTATTAAAAATGAAGTATTTGCTGTAGTTAAATTTCATCCATGGTAACAATGACAAGCTATTACAAATTTAAGCTGACGAAACACACATATGACTGAAATCCAGTAAACCACAATATCAAACTAATTGCATGGTTTTTTTTGTATTAATCATATTAGTCATCACTTGAACTTGGTTTTGAAGCATATAAATAATTCAAGCTTCCAACCAACCAGCTTTCTATCTAGGAAATACTGGTAATACGAAAAATTTATGCAATATATGTTTACTAAATTTTTTATGATTTAGAATTAGCAATAAAACTGCAATATCTATTTATTCAAAAATATTTGCTTCTAAACAATTTCTTCAACTAATAGCAATGCATTAAAATGAAAGCATTGTCAGAATATTACTCTATCTCATGCCACTATAACAACAAAACAAAACCAATGTTGCCAAAGTGATCATGTAGCACTAAAGGTTGGTCTGATTTTTGCAGTCTTACTGCAATTAATGAAAAAAGACCCTTGCTAAAAAGCTCTTCAAAATCATTCTCTGTAATATCAAACCCTTGTACCGTAATTTTTTGCTACAGTTTAAGACTGGTTTTGTCCATCACTCACCCTTTTAGCCCTAGGCACAGTAATACTAGAATATATTCTTGACAATTTGTACAGGTTTCATGCTACATAAAAGTGAATGTATCTAAAACTAAAACTACTGATCAATCTGAATAAAAAATTACACCACACTGCTTTCTTATTCATATTATACAGTAAAATTCCGAAAATAAGCCCCAAAATGTATAAGCCTCTCCAAATATAAGACCCCAAACTCGTAATGCAAAAAACCCTCCATTAAATCGCCCCTCCAAATATAAGCCCCCCGGGGGGCTTGTACTTGGAAATTGCCCTCAAATACAAAGTAAAACAAAGAAAATCGGTAAATTTCTTTCCAAAAAGAAGGCTAGCCCAATCGATTTTTAAATGCAAATTTCCCTCTATACATAAGCCCCTCCAAATATAAGCCCCTTGAAAGAGGCCTTTGAAAAATATAAGCCCAGGGGCTTATTTTCGGAATTTTACGTTAATTGTCTTGCCTTGAATAAATCTAAGGACATCGATATCAGTTGAAACTTCAACCTTTGCTAGCTTACAGAGTAAAAATTTGCAGACAAAAGCATACGCTACACATTTTCTTGAAAATCAACATCGGGTCATCAGAATGCAGCACTAAGCATCACTGTCTTTGTTTCTTGCATGATATTTGTCCATTCAGCAGGTCCTGAGCCAAAGTCCTTACTATAGTATTACCACTGTACTTTTTTTATCATAGCAGCAAGCATGTCATTCCCTTATCTCTGTAAGGATTGTTTGCATTTGGAATCTTTCCTAGCAAAGGATCATCACATCGCTTCTCTTGGCAGAATCGAGCAAGGCTACGACAAGAAAAAACACAACAAAACAAAGGTTAAAAAGATTGATTCCTATGTAATGAATAACAGATAATTACTAAGTTATATTAATTTGTTGTGTTGTTGTTCATTCCATTAAAACAGCCAGCTACTCTAGTTTTATTCAACTGTTCTAATGAATCAAATAGTGTGTGGTGCAAATAACTGCAAATTGCGGAAAGGGGGTGGGGGAGGGGAGGTGGAAGGCCTCTCAATAAACCTAGGACTGGTCAAACACTCAATCCCAACTGAGACTGACTTTTTTAAGAAGACAGAACTTCTAATAATAATACCTGATGACTTAGACATTTGATAATTATTAAAAGATACATACCGGTATACAAAATGTTTTTAACCCATTCGCCCCTGAACCGCCCGTGCGGATCCAGGTCCTTTCTACCCTTTGTGACGTCATCAGTTTTAACGGTCAAGGACAACTTTCTTCGCTAACTTGTGCAGGGTGAAGAGATCTTTCAAACCATACCAGAATGAGCACAATTCAGTCAAGGACACCGGAGAAAGAAGCAAAAAACCACGTGACAAGGACCTGAAAATCTCCATGAAAATCTTGTTCCATTACCCACCTACCTTTCCTTTCACCTAATCCTAAGATCCTAAAAGCTTTCCTAAAAACTCTTCCCACCAAAATGAAGCCTACTAAATGCCCAGCAAGAGAAAAAAAAAATGAGGCAAGAAAAGCGAAAAAAGAAGGGAGGAGAGAAAGCGAAAAGTAAAAGTCAAGACTGCTGTGTCACTTTTAAACCCAAAAACTATGTCGAAATTTTGCTTTCTGCGCATGCCCGAACTTTGTAAGCTGATATTTTGCATCTGGATCAGAAGGCCGCCAAGTGTACGACCTGTAAACCGGTTTGTGGTAAGTTTTAGCTCTTTATAGCACGACAGTGACTGGAAAACCACTCGACTAGCTTCAAAACGCGTTTTTCGGCAAAATCTCCAGGAGCGAATGGGTTAAGGCAGCTTTTTCTTGTAAAGCTAACAAAAATGACTATGGAGCATTTTCACTCATGTGGGCAGCATCTACGCAAATTTATTAGAACAAAAGAGAGCATTTATATTTGCAGAGATGCCAACCTCTATTTTGCACAACACTTCCAACAGCCCCCCAACCCAATATCAAACTTTGCTTTCATCATTGTAATGATGAAACAAATTATCTTTGTCAGTGACTCAACTTAATATGTGCAAAAATGTCCCAGACCACACAATGAATACAAAAAGTTCAAATTTTGAGGGGAAAACAAGGGCTAAGTTTCAAACAAAAAGCATAGAAAAGCTTAAAAGTCCATTTTATCCGGGAGATTTGGTGACCCGTACGGGACACTGTGGGCGAGCGGGAGATCAGCGCCGTATCCGGGACAGTTGGGATGTATATGCATAAGAAATATGTTCAATTCCAACAGGATTGGTATGGCTGCCATGATGTCATGTGAAAATACTCTTTAGGGGGCATGTCCTGACCACATGACCAGCGGCTAAAGAATTCCATCATCGAAGAGAAAAATCCTATGGAAACTGGCATTAACAATGATGCCAAAAAAAATGAAAGAGCAATAAAACTTCTGATAAGCGTAAACATTTCACTCCCCTCGCCAAGCCCTTTTCAAGGCCATGGCATCAACTTAATGATGACCTTGAATTCCTCATAGAATCAGTTTCTCTTGGAATGATGTTGCTTAATGCTGATTATTATAATTTCCTTAACTCTCTAACTCTCATGTCATTATCATTGTCAGTAAAGATATCAATATATAAATGAGAAATTCTGAATTGTAAGACATAAAAGCCGCAGAAAATAAGCAAAAACAAAAGCTTCACGAACTAAATCTTTAGGATTCTTAAGGTCACTGCTGCTTGCTATAAACGTCACGAACGCAATTCGTAAACAACTAAGTAACGTCATTAAAATATTCAGGGCTAAAACGTTGACAAACTACTGTGGATTTATACTCTAACGGACATTATAAGAAATACAAAGTCTCACTACGAAAAGAGATGAATTTCATCTCGTGACTTATGTTCTAAAATCGTCCTGTCACAACTTGGGAGTACGTGCTATAACACCGAGCGCCCATTATGGACAATAGAATCCATACAAATTTAATCACACAAAAGGTTCACATCAAAATGGAAACAATACCTGTAAATTTGCATTAATAATGTGCTTAGAAAAGAGGACAAAGGCAAACAAAACAACGCTTTCAAAAGCTTAAATCAACGATATCGTGACCATTCTGACTTACTCATCAGAACAAACTGAAATTTTCTTCCTGGATATAGCAGCTTCTCTCCTCAGCTGTTCGACTTGTATTCTCAGGTTGTGATATTCGTTTTCCCGCTGTGAAAGGGCCGTTTGTCCATACATTTTTACACCTTGAAACTGATAACGCCTCTCTCCGTAAATACAAGAACAAACTAAAGTCAACAGGGAGGGCGGTCACTGTTTCAGAGCGGATGTTGATTAACCATATTAGGCACAAGCACCTGATTGGTTGTTTCTCTCAAGTGCAATATATCATTTTCACCAGGGAGGCCTGGAGGGTCACGAAAATGAAAAAGGAAAGGTGTTGCTTGTATTGTTCGCCTGTGAGCCTTTCTGCGTAAAGACAAGACAAGTAAATTGAAGCCGAGTTAGAGGTAGGGAAGTGACGGGAGTGGGGACGCAGAGGCGGGGGTGGGGAGGCGTTTTTTAAAATAACAGTGAACGTTTCCTCGACTTCTCCAGAGCGGCTCGTGTTTTCCCTAGCCTGCGTAGCAAGCGTTTCCGCGCGAGTTCGTCGCGAACGTTGGGACGAGATCTCCAACTTTCGCGCTATAACTCGACTGGAAACGCTTGCTACGCAGCCTATGTTTTCCCAGACACGCACTCTGCGTTCCAGACGATACCATTCAGTCAAAATGAATAATCAATAACATCAATCATAGTCGATAAAAAATCACTAGCAATTAATTGATTTATACTGAAAATCAATGAAAATCAAAGCCGCAGTCTTGAGTGAATTTCGATTTTCATTGATTTTATTGAAAACTGAAATGTACTTTAAATAGATGCATACGTACATGACGTATACATATTCTCGAGCCTGCCTTTAATTTTGTTTGGGACATTTATCGAACTCCTAGCTGAATGTATCAGAAAAATTTTTTAAAAAGTCGCACATCATCAACATACACAAGCATGCCCACTGTGAAAGGTAAAATTGTAGGGTCCACGAGATGGCTATGATCTGTGATATCTGCGAGTCGAAATACTGCGCCCAAACCTCGTTTCTGGGTTTTTTCCTTGCAAAAGCCCTGGGAATGATAAGACAAACTGAAAGCAAAGGGCACATTTTCACCAACACAACCCACTGCCTGGTCAGTACTGGGATCGGAGTAGGTTGAGACGGTACCCATTTTCTCACACGAAACCTTACATTCATGAGCCCTTGTTCCATAGACCTATTCGGCTAACTCAATGTTGTACCCAATTCAAATCTCCCGGGGACAAGATTCTTTGTGTATTGTATTTGTATTATAATGTGCCATTCACATTTAAATGATATGGAAATTCCTGAAACAAAAGGTTTTATTCCCAAAGGGTTTGAATTGGGTACAACATTGATTTAGCCGAATAGGTCTATGAGGCTTCCACACCGGCTAAGATTTTAAAATTCCATCTCGCCATGCACCAAGGTAAGCACCAAGGGCTTGTTCGTCTCACGCATTAATTTTTTAAAAGTTGGGTTTTTCCGGGGGGGTCTCAACAAAGTTTTATAAGGGGAGGGTCTGCCCCAAGGTCCAGTCTCTTATCCTTTTGTATGCCATTTCTGATAGAAAAGGTACCCCTTTTATATATTTATTTGACAGATGGTATATACTCCTTTCACATACCAAGTTTAGAACTTTCATCCCTTTTAACTGCTGCAAACGCACTGTCTATAAAATATGAATAAATCACAAAACCAGAACGTTCTCTGGGCTTTTTCACAGCCATAAAATGCAGCTCTTAGCCCGTTTGGGCCTCTTACAGACCGAAATGAAAGATTTCCCTTACGTGCGGGGCCTCCCCGTACAGGCCAATATAGGGAGAACCCCGCCAGGGATTTTTTCTCCCAATTGAGTTTGATCTTAAAAGTGTCCGCACTCCACTTTCACACTCAAGCGAAACACTCCCTGAAATAAACTTATCTCGCAACGTTTTGAATGTTGTAGAAAACGCCAACCTCGTTTAAGTGTTGCGAGAAATGTTTCAGTTCGGGGGATGTTACAGTAGACCAGAAAATGGCTCTCTTGACTAAACAGCATGACCTTTCTTGCAACTTATCTCGCAGAACCGCAGAAAAATTTGCGAGACAAGCTGCAAAAGAAAATGCGCAGTATAACAGGTCTTTTAATAGCGCCTGAAAGAGCGCGTCTCCTTAAATGAAGGTCTCGTCCTTGCCTTGAAAAGAAAAGAAATTAGTCAGGGAAGACAAGACATTGGACTGAGGATAAACCAATAGGCTACGTTCAGAACGCAGAGGTCGAATTTACGACCGGTTGAAAATTCCTGCGTTTAGGTGTTGCATTCACACGGAACCACCTCAACCATACGCTACCCGTTCAAATTTCCGTGTGAACAGAACAAAATTATTAAAAGGTCCCTTGTGACCGATTTATCCTGTCAAAATTTCAGCCGGTTGAAAATTCGTCCAGTGCCGTTTGAACGCAGCCTCAGAGAATAAAATGAAATCAAATCACTTTTCAAACAGCTGTAGTGTTGCCAAGCTTGATTTAATAACTTAGAAGATCGGACATATAAATTATTCCAATTATTGTCTTACCCTACAAGCATTCGATGGATTTAAGAATTGGGCAGTCTTGCGGTAATCTCAATATAGACCGGAAGACTGAAAGAGAAATCGCCACATTTTTGGACGGTAAGTGCTCCTTGAGCAATTATGAATGCTGAACTGGTTCGACCAAGTGCTATTCTAACGAGGGTATGGATCACCTGGATCAGCCAAATTTCAGAAACGACCTGTTCTTTTTCGCCGGTGGAATATCCTCGGAGAAAAGAATTTCTCTATTTAAAAATAGCCAATAAACAAGCCCTGCTATAAAAACAAACAAAAAGTAAGGAGAAGTTGGTGTCTCAAGTCCTTCATTACACTCGGTGGTTTAGGACTTTGAGATGGTTGGAAACAAGCCTCGTTATCGAAAACGAACATAGGGTTTTAAGTTTAAGCCCGACTCAAGGAAGTACGCCTAACTGATGTCACGGGTACTGGCTTTTGCTGGAATTGGCTGATGCGGCATGACCATATACTAGTACCAAATCCTAGGATTACACGCAAAACAATGTCTACATTTCTGAAATATTGTCTCGTCCTCAGTACTGCTACTGAAAACTCTTACATTACAAACAAGAGGCACGTTGAAGTTGTGGTATTTGCTACTACTATGACTAAAACTGAACTAAAGGTATTTTCACAATGAGCAGCCCCCGTGTTTTACCACGAATTGTGGAGCGAGAAATAGCGTGCAAAGAAAACAGGGTGACAAGACTTTGTCATTTCAAAATGGACGTATGCAAGAACACACGATGCTCCGTTACAGGAGCACGAGGAGGCCTAAGTACTACTGACTCTATCATTTAAGGGTTACATGGTTTGTCCCGAGTCAAGTCCTGGGGAAGGAGCCACATCGTGGCTGCTATAACTGAACTAAAGGTATTTTCACAATGAGCAGCCCCCGTGTCTTACCACGAATTGTGGAGCGAGAAATAGCGTGCAAAGAAAACAGGGTGACAAGACTTTGTCATTTCAAAATGGACGTATGCAAGAACACACGATTCCAGGAGCAAAAGAACTGACTCTATCATTTAAGGGTTTCATGGTTTGTCCCGAGTCAAGTCCTGGGGAAGGAGCCAAAAGAAAGGGACTGCTCACTGTCTTCTCATTAACAGCGGAGTAAATATTCATGTCTACGGTGGAAGTATGCAACAGAAAAAAAAAAAAAAAAAAAAGGTGAAAATTAACAACAAAATAAACAATCTACAGAAAGCTAGGATAATTTTTTTCTTGCAAAGCCATCTCAGTTCATTCCAACTGCAGTTAGCAAGAGTTTCTTGTAATCACCACTGCAGTCTCCCTGAATCATCTTGTACAGTGTCTTGTGATATTTCTGAAGGAAGGCCGCTTTGATTTCAACTAGATCAATCTGAAACAGAACGAGGTTGGACCAAACAATGCACACACTTTGAAAAATACACTCTGGTTGGGAGATAGAGAGAAACAAACAGTCCTGCCAAAAGTAGGCTCGATCATTACCAGCCGCTCTTCTTGAAATGAGCCCGCGCTCCTTCCCGGTACAGACTCTTCTCGGGGAGGACCGAGAGAGCGGCGAGTGTACTGGTATCAACGACAACCTGAGCGCGATGGATCCTCACGATTCAAAGAAAATTCTTCGAGCAGAACTTCCAAATTTTCAGACAATTAGATTTTGCGCTTGAAAAGAATGTCCCTTGAAAAGACTTAGAGTGAGGCCTACAAACAAAGTGAAGAGGCAAAAAACCACAAGAAGACAATTTGCGCCTTAAGTGTAAAAGTGTCCGTCCACTTTGATAAATCTGAAATTGGTTCCTGTAAACACTCATGACATTAAAAACATGTGACCAATGGTTTGACTTTCTTGGTCTTTTCCGACATCTCAAAAAGCAAGCTCGTTCCACGATCACTTTCGTTAGCACCAAAATTCACTAACCTCTGGGCAAATCGGAAAAGAAAATCCCTGCTTCGCTTACAAAAACGTGTTCATTATATGCTAATTACTTGCAAATCAAAAAAAAAACCGAACACGTAGCCTGTGAACAGACTCCAATTGGAGAGGGGCGAAAGCAAGCCAGGTGCGACGGGGCGTTGCGTCCCTCAAGCCACGCTCGGATCACTTCGCTCGCCGATTTTCTTTTTCGCCCCGCTTCACTTGGGATCCCGTTCGAAGGATATGAACACGTCGATCTGATTTTGACAGGTCATTTGTGTACACTCCAATCTATGCGACTTGAAACCGTTAAAAGAGTTTACCCCGATCACAACGTTTCTTGGGTAAACAACTTCACGCAGGATAACTAAACCGTAACTAGAATTTTGATGTTTCCCTTTTGGATTCTTCTTCCGTTGCTCGTTCCGCTGGAAAAGAGCAGCAAAGGCACTGGGGACGAGATTGCTCATAAACGAATAAACCAGCTGATTGAGAGAGGAAAGAAAAAGCGACAAAAGAAAAAGAGGCCTACCTCTGAACGCGAAACAACAATTCGAATTAAGGTTGCATCATCAGTTCCGGCTCCTTTCATGGATTTCCACAGTCGATCAGCAAAGTATCCAGCAGGATTCCTTGAACATTGCACTGTCAAAACCAACACAATTTACATAAATATAGGCTACTTTTTCTCAATCGGCAAGCTGTCGGTGAAAATACATTTGATAATGGTTTATTATTTATTTTTCCTTTTCTTAAGCCGCAACAAAGGAAATAGGAGACGTCTGCACGCAGGCCACCTCCTGGCAAGCACTCCATTTTTGGCGAGCGAGGCAAGACGCGAGAGAACGCGCGAGTGAGCGGAGAAGCCGCGAGGTGCTCGCAGGCTTCTTCCATAAAAGCGATATTATACACGGGATGATTCGCGACGACGATTTTTTAGCGGAACAAAGCATGGTTACATACACACTTACGACTTCAGCATGAAAGCGAGGCCTAAGGGCTACATCTCAATTAAATTGTATAAACTGGCAGAAGCGCGCACCGTACAACTACGACAAAGAATAGTTCTCACAAATACTGCGCTGTTGCGCTTTGTAATACTCGTTCCGATAATAGAAAAGACTTGACGTTTCCTGTATTTCCGAAGGATCCTTGCCGAAGGCTAGTTTCTCCACTGTCCACTCTTCAACGCAGGTTCATTTACTATAACCGAACAAGGAATTTATCTTTTGGGGTTGATTTCTAATCGCTAAATCAACAATCGTTCTTGCTTTCGCCGCCCTATTTACTTTTTTTGAAGTTTGCGGGTACGTCGTAGGTGTGTATTTTGTATTGTTTCAAATTCAAGTTTCACAATGTTGCACTAAAAATCGTCTTGGCAAATTGTCTGGTGTAACATGGCCTATAGACACTTAAGAATGAAGGGGAACAGGGACTCCAAACCTTTCACCTCCTGCACTTTGCATCTCCCGGCCCCACACCTTTTTTCTTGAATTCCTCCCTCGCCGTTTTCCACCTCTCGTCCTTTCCTCTCCCGCTCCCTATTTTCCCTGGCTCCCTTTCCCCTGTTCTCCCCACACTGTCAAGAGCGAAAAGTTTTGATCATAACCAAGCCAGGATGGTTGTTTGAAACACTGCTCACACTAACACTCCCACCCATATAAACCATGAACTGCTGACAGACTAGGCCGCCTAAAAATATATTAACTTACCAATACATTTAAATCCAGCCTTGAGATCTCCAGACATCTCACGGTCAATACTGTTCAAAATATCCCGCTGTGAAATCTGCAAAATAATGATAGAGAAAATATCTCTTGAATGTCGTCAGTCCGAGGGAGAGGGATAGGACAGCAATACGAAAATCCACCCTTCCCTTGCTGTTGCCTGCGTCTCTTCTCTTTCTTGATACAAAATACCCGGGAAAGGGGACTCCCATATAAGTGACAGGCATGCTCGTCTTTCTCGCTGAAGTATAGTCTCCCCTACGGTCAAATAAAGCCTAAAACACAACACCCAGACTGTTCTCCAGCAGGAGCTTAATAACAACTTTCCCACGAGCACCCCGCTACTTTCATTTGGGAGTCCCCGGGAGGGGGGGGGGACAAATAGTGCGCAAGATAGACTCCTTTTTCAGATTTCTTCTACTTCCAGCCACTGTTTTCCATACCATGTACATGATACGCGCGGCACATTGGCTCTCGCCTCCCGGTCTTTACTCCATCATACTCCACATAGACACATCCCACACAAACAGTAAATTAACTCACCCTCTTACTGTAATTCCAGAGTCAATATTATGGAAAAGCCCAATGTTGTCATGTCTAACCTCTGACTCTGTATTTATTCGGATTAACATCGGGTGAGGGGAGGTGAAGGTTGGCAGAATCTTAAAATGATCCGAGGAAATCGGAAGGGGGTGATCTGGGCCGGGTTGTTCAAAGCAGGGATAAGACTAACCAGACTTAGTCTTATCCAAATTTCAGATATAAAAGCTTGAAAAGCAAATTCAGTTTAATTCTTTTTGCCTGCAATGTAATGATTTGATGCTCTATAAAGAAACGAGAAAATTATCCGCGAAAATGCTGTTGAACAGAAGAAAAAAAGAAACCCTCCGAACAACTGGGCCTCGGAAATAATTCATTTTCTCGGCACCTTGGCCATGCGATTCCAATTGTAGGAAAAATTAAGTAGAACTGACCGTCTCAAGCTAAACGCTATCGCAAGAAATTAGTATGCCGCAAAAAAATTGCCGGCTTACCTTGATATATTCATCAAAAGTAGCTCTAAGCTGTGGAAAGCTCCTGGAAGCCAAAACAACATTAAAGCGAGATTCATCTGTACCCCATTTCCTCTCTCCAGCCTAGAAACCAGACAAGTCAAATGACATCATTAGATTGCAGAGCTAAGGTCTGTGGTGGTTGGCATTTCCATTTCCATATAGCCAAATACAGAGGGAATTAAAATTTTAACATAAAACACAATGAAACACAACACATATTACCTACACTCGTTCCGACTCACACGGCTATTTTAGCTATTTAGCAATTGCAATGTAAGCTCATTGGATGAGTATGATCTATCGAGGAGAGTGTTATATAGATCTGCATAGTTCTTGAGATCATACGAAAGCCGAATCCAATATTGTTTTATTATCTATTCAAAATAGTTCAAAATATGCTTTCTTCGTGTCGTTAAGTTCCTGTCTTCATTTCCTTGATTCTCGGCCAATTCAGGATATATAGTGATGTTTATATTAAGTCTGGTAGATATTCTTCGAATAGCAGTTGTCATCCGTCGAGTTGTATTTAGCTGTTCTTACTTCGTTTTAAGGCAGTAGTTTGCTCGGCTGTTCTTCTTCGCTTAACGGGTGAAATTTTCGGACATTTTCTCCAGCCTTACTAAAACAGCTGAGCGATCACAACCTCGGCCCTAAGGCGTCAGGTTTCAGAGCTTTTTTCCAGCGATATCCTGCAATATTGACGTCACTTTACCGGATATCGCAAACGTCTTCCAAGTTCGGTCAACGCTAGCTGGTTAGGGACGGACCATTAGAAAACTTATGGGGGGGGCGGGCGAAGTACAAAAAAAATAATGCACGCCAATTAACTCTAAAAAATATTCATGCTACGGCCTAAAAAAAATTGATAACGAAAAAAAATTCCTGCGGCTCAAAAATTCCCCTCCCCCCCATAACTTTTCTAATGGTCCGTCCCTTATGAAGAATTCAGCTAGAATAAGCTGGAGAATTTGCACCAATAAGAAACGGAGCAATGTTCTGAATGAATAATAATGCTATTTACACTAAATACGGACTAACGCGCTTGACGGTTGTCAAAGCCAGAAAAACGGAAGAGAACTCAATTCAGTCAAACAAGCAACTAGAGGCTATTTATCGATAGACGATCTCAGCCACTCAACTTTAATACAATTTTTTATACCTGAAACAAGTCTTGGGCCTCCTTTTGAGCCTTTGCTAAGTCAACTGTGGTGGACTCATCTCGATTGCCCTTCAGAATGAAGTAAATAAAAAACAATTTACATTATAACTTACAAAGAGGTATTGTGAAGCTGCATTACACCATACCCACTTGGTATGATAATACACTTCATTGTAGTCCATCACGGTGTTTAAGTGTATAAGCCGTTCCGGTTGCGTCCTTTATAGCAAATTCAAACTCTTCAAGGCTACCCTTCTGCTGATAGAGAGAAATGCCTTCCTTCCTTCCAATGACTTCTGTTCCCATAAAGTGAAGTAGTGATGACCCCAAAATACAGAATCCAGCATCCGGCCAGACAAGCAGAAGACTCGGTACGCTTCCTTCCCAACATACACAACAGTGTCCTGCTTTCCCACCCAACCTACCTCGTTATTTTCCATAGAATCCTTGGGGAAAAAAGTAGAGGATCTGCTGCGTTCACCCTCATGTAGTGTTGCAGGGGAAAAGTGCGTGTACAAACACAACATGACTGTCTCTACCTATCCAACCTCCAACAGTGGAAGATTTGGTGCAACACTCACAAACTTGTAGTGTTTTGAGTGAGACACGTTTCTACGTAACAACCTGGCTACCTTGCCTTGTTCAAGACACGTAAGAAATATTGATATCGTGGTAATAGGAAGCTAAAGCAAAGGGGTTTTTGACGGACTTATAGCATTTTTGGGGCGTGGGTTTGCCAAAATGTTTGGGCAGCTCGTCTCTATAAAGGGAAAGACACTAACCCATACAACTTTGTTCAGTAGCGTCATGGCATATTCAAAGGGAAAAAAGCCTCTCTTCTGGTTGAAGTGCATCGCTCACCGCTGTTATCTAGCAATGCATCACCCTGTCTCCATCCAAACATCCCCTCCAAGGTTTATTCTCATGTAACTGTAACAGTTTTACGAACGTCACATTTAGGAGCTGCGAAAATCTTTTCATTACCTGACACATAGAGACCAAAAGCCTCTTAAAATGACCACTGGTTTCGCTCACACAGTCTTTTTCAAGGTCACGCTTGTAATCTAAGTAAAAGATTTAAAACATTTGCTTCTGAAAAACCACACTTGATATTTAGATGACTGTTCCTTTCTTACTGTTGGACTCCACTGAAACCTAAAAATTCCCTGACTCTTCCCTAAACAAAAAACAATTTTTCTGGCCTTCCATTTTGCATTTTCTTCCATTTCCTTAGCAGGCCATGGATATTGTACTTAACTCGTAATTATGGAAAACTTAAAAGTTTGTGATGAAACATAGATTTTTTGCACGACTACAGTATCGAGCAATCAGCTGCATAGCCTGCGTAGGAAGCGTGTCTGTGTGGTTTAGGAGCAAAGAACGAGGAACAAGAGTCAAATTTTAATTTCTCGCGCGATCAAAACCAAAAATCTCCTTCCACGGTCTTTTTTTGCTCCGAAACCAAACGGAAACGCTTGCTAGGCAGGCTATCAGCTACAGAATATTTTGTTCTTCCTTCATTTTCCCCAGTTAAGACAGAGCAGTAGTACTTTACAGAAAAAATAAAGTGGTGAAGTATGTCATAATAATAGCAAACCATTTAAGATGTTTGAATTGGCATTCAACAGAAACTAGAGTGGACGAGAACCATGTATTTACATTGCAATTCAGTTGCATCCAATTGCAAAACATCTACAAAATGAGCAGCTTACTGTAGAAGAAACGTGTAAAGTTATTCACATTATTTTTCTTCATAGTGTCATGGGTAATGAATGTCATAATTTCTAAGATTTTGATGACAAAAAGAGCAGTAAAACTAAGAAGGCCTCGATTAAACATCAAGATTGCTTGTACGTAGGATCGCAACAAAGGGTAGACATAAGTCTTTAAAAGAACATAAATAAAATTTGGTACTCACATTCAGTATAATTCCTTTTGATGTTAGCTATTTCCTGTCACGAAAGAAAACATAACAGGTTAATTTATGGAAACAATGCCTTCATAATAATTAGATGCTAAAAATCAGGTGATAGAGACACCCATATAAAACAAACGCAACACCTAAGCATAATAACAACTGATCCCAGCTGAATAACAGTTAACTGTCTGTCTCTCAAATATAGACAGCTGATGCTTTTAAAGTATTCATTCTTGGATTATCATTACCTACTGATGCAAATCGGCTTACTTCATTGCATCGTATTGTCCCACTTCCTTTCCACATCGAACAAACGGTGTACATCTTTAATGAGGAATTTACAGTCTACAGAGTTTGTAATTTTGGTTTAAAAAGACTCAGGTCCCCCAGTCCAATGTTCAAAGCGATAACAACGCATATCTACCATGACAGTGGATAATATTTCATTTCACAGATTCCTATCATTTCACAACAAAGCCTTTGAACCAATCACATGACATGTCACAGGACAACTAAAAACTCTCATTTCCACGCACAATCATAACTATTACATAGAAACCTTAACATATAAATTTCAAAATTGGTTTTGTAATATTATGGTGCCTGGATGCTTGGTTGAACTGGAAATAACCAAGGGAGAACTTCAAATGACTGAACACTGTTGAATCTGAATGTAAAGCTAGGAAACATAAGAAAATGCCATGACTGAGACCATAGATATCACAGTGCTCCAAGCTGCAACCGTTTTGGTCACAATGGAAAGAAGACAATAATTATTCTGGTAACAAAAATTGCGGTGAAAGTAAGTTGCCAGTTTGGTAAAGTGCCTCTGGCTGTATAAATGTGCAAAGCTGTAGTGTTTTATTAGATGGTGTTTATGGTCTTTTGAAAGTTACAGCGAAACATTTGCATGACATATTATTTTTGCTCCACATTCAGACTTTAATGGTAGCTACTTTCCTTAAGAGACCAGCTTCTTTAAGCTTTAATGATAGCCCAGTACACTTTATTATACATGTAACAACAAACCTGGTTAGTACGGGTACAAAGAATGTCAATCAATGTCTCCTCATCTGTTCCAGCACCCTGAAAAATAATAAAGACAACAAAGGTCAAAACATTAACACTGATTGTATTGTGCATACAAAGGGATAAAATATCAATACATGTATAACATTTGTTGCCTTACCCTCATAGCACGTCTCAAACACTTGGCGTCATACAGAGAGGATGGCTCGAGTAAAGCCAACAAACAATCTTCCAGGTTACCACTAAGCTCTGACTTCAGGTCATTCATTAGATCCTAACAATGTCAAATAACATGTAGATTAATAAAAAGGTTACTATTAATTGATTGACACAATGGATACTATCAAAAAAGGGTTAATTAAATGCAATTTTCAAGACACTAACTGACACAGGTCTTCACTAATATTATTCCTCTATCCGGATCAGAATAACCTTGAACTGTATGCCACATTGGAAAAAAAACAAAAAAAAAACTATCTTTATGCAATGTTAGCCTCATGTGTGATAGTCCTCTGATAAATCGTAAGCAAGAACCACCCACAAACGAAGCATAGTATTGCGACCATCAAAGGCAACACACAAAAATGTGGTACAATACTTTGTAACGTCAAAAAAGTGTGAGAAAAGCAAGTCGGTCACTTAGTATGTAAATTGGAAAGATGTAGTGGCCATCATTTCATGAGAATGTGACAAAGAAGAGTCCAAAACATCCAAACATCAGGCTGCTGCCAACACTGAACATGCATATTTAATGCTTACCTTGCCAAACATTGTTTTGTATCTTTTTCTGATTTCTACTCTCTGGGCATTGCTTCGTTTCACAATAATGTCAATAAGAGCCTGCTCATCAGTCCCTGAAATATCAAAAAGAAAAGAAACGAAATTTTAGCATTCCACCACCACTGGGCAGGACTTAAGATCTAAAGATTTTAGAGGTCACAAACACTGTGAAGTAAGTGTTTCCAAACGGGGCACTGACTGGCATGGATGTAAATTTATATCAGTTGCCAAAGACTGACTAGCTGAGGAAAGTCTACAGATTGGGCCTGATTCATACTGTATTGAGTGGTAGGGTATATAATAGGGTACTAGGATATATTACCAGACCATTGCCCAGGCATACAGCTTGGTATTTCACAATTTACATTTCTTTAATTAATTTGAGTCAATCTTACCTACTCCTCTCATTGCTTTCCTTAGCAACTCACAATCTGCTTCTGCATCAAATGGAGAGGCTGGAAATACAGTAGGATGACCATACTTCTACAAAGAAAACAAATTAACAGTAGTCTAAGGACATTTTGTCAATACTTACTTATATTCTAATGACTGGTTCCTAATAGTAGCCTGAGTTAATTTTTTACAACAGACATCATTTAACTGGCAGCAGGAGTCCCTAATGAATTGTCAACTTTCAAGACCTAATTGCTAATAATCCCCCCCCCCCCACCCCCCAGCTAAAGGAATCATTGCTTGCATTAAATTTTCTTTATGTTTGTAAATGTTATGTGAACATTAAAATTTACTTACTTTAGTCAAAGACATAGAAGCCATCTGAGCAGTGGGAACACCTCCCTGGAAAAGCAAAGAAGGATAAACTCAGCAAACAGTTATTGTTAACTTGCCAAGACCATAACCTATTCCAGCTGTTCAGTTATGAGTATAAAGGGTCACTGAGAACTGCAAATGCGGGAGAAAATAAAAGAAAGGGCTACAGATTTTTCCTGAAGCTTAAGCACTGACAGGAATTCCAGTGCATTTCCACTCAATATACATACATGTATTACATACTTTTTCCCTTTTTCCACTGTCTAAATGCCTACATGTAAAACAAGCTTCACAATGCTATGAATTCCAGAGTTTCTTGTTTTATAGAGAAAATAAGACCTCCAGGAAATAACTGGACAAGCCACAGTTACATGCATACATACATACACACATTGCTGAGAGAGGACATCTTATGTACAATTCAGTCCTTTGCTTTTAACGGCACAATATGCAATCAAAATGTTCCATCCACTTACATGACTGCCAGAAGGTGGTGGAGGTTTTGCTGGGGCTGCTTGAGGTTTTGGTGGAGGAGCAGATGCAGGTGCTGTGGGCAGGGGAGCACTGTGAGTCACTGGAGCTGAAAAATATTAAACATCATCAAAATGCTGGGTCTTATTAGTAGGTGGGTAACTGAACAGCCACAAAGTTCATTTGGCTCTATTTTCTTCTTGTTTCCTGAAAGAAGTCGGGGGTCATGCTCATAGTTGCCAGTGTAAACCCCTAAGGGCCCTGGCTCTTAGTGAAAGCCCTGATCATTGGCTAAAAAAAAAAAAAGATGACTAGCAAAAGTTACAGCTGGAAAAGGTAGTAATTTTTACACAGAAAACACATCACTTTATTAGGTCCTTTTCATGCATATGACTAACTGGCAGGTACTTAAGGACATAGCCCCATACCTCAACAAAAAAAAGGCCAAACAAAACAAACAATTAAACCCTTAGTAGAAAAATCAATCAGATCTGCCAGTAGCTAGTGCTACATGCATTTCTCTTTTGAGGAATGTAAGTGATAATATTCAAGTCACTAAACATAAAAAGACGAAATATACAGGTATTCACACTCAGCTCGAAACCTTATCCTCACGGCTTCTTCAAGTAAGTTACAAAATTTACTTAATTGGTTATTTACAGTCCGCATAAGAGAATCAGTTGGATACTGTATGCATAAATATATCAGCTGCTGGAAACGGTGTGCCATCAAAGCAGACTTTCATTTATTGGTAATAAATAAAATAGATCATACTGTGAACCACAGCCATCCAACACAACATTAAGCTACGTTACTTAATACAACTCTGCTTTCTAAAATCTGCAGTGCCTGTATCAGGTCTGATTTATCATTATTGTAACTGCAGGGCTTTGTGGATCTCAGTTCATTTCTGTTATCATACTGATAATTATATTTAAATCAAACAAAAACCACAAAGTTTTACGAATTTTTTTTGATTATACAGTGATCAGAAATCTACTCATGGAATCCTATAATATTAAAACAATCTTTAAATCTGCAAAAAAGATAAAAAATGCCCAATACCTTGAGAGGGAGAATAGCTCTGCTGTGGAGGTTGATGATGTACTCCATACCCACCACTATGAAGTGGGGCTCCATATCCACTAGCAGGGGGTGGTGCTCCATATCCACTAGCAGGAGGTGGGGCACCATACCCACTGACAGGGGGTGGGGCACCATACCCACTGGCAGGAGATGGGGCACCATATCCCCCAGCTGGAGGTGGAGCTCCATATCCACCTACTGGGGGTGGTACTCCATAAGAACTTCCTCCGCCACCATAACCAGGCTGTGGTCCCCCAGGTATAACCCCTGGCATCATACCTTGAAAGACAAGAGAGAAAAACATTGCTTCATGGAAACAAACTGACTTTTGAACATGGCTACATGTAGTTAGCTACCCTCAGGCAGTCTTGAGCCCTGACTCTGATAATAACAACAATAGCTAGTAATTTTGGCTTTTAAAGCAAAGCTAGCAACCCACAGTTAGCGTAGCTACATGTACAATTTGTGACAAAGTATTTGAAACAAAGTCCTCAAATAGGGTACTTTTGAGAACAAAACAACACATACACTGTACATGTGCCTATCCCCTGTCCCTTCCATTCAAAGTTGGAGCATTTTTTTGTTTCCTAAGGGTAGCTCAAACAGCAGCAAAACGTGGCTTGGAAGTGGGTGGAGGAGGGAATGTTTTGGCAAAATGTCAGAAAGGCCCTTTAGCGCAAAGTGTCTCAAATTTTCTCTCCAGCTGTAGAAGAGGGTCATGTCAAAAAATGAAAACAAAAGGAAGCTGATTAGCTGAGCTTTGCAGACAGTAAATTGTGTGCTAGATGGATTTAAGGAAATTATCCCGGCCAGAAGATCAAAAGTTCAAACCAGATGTACATGTTTACAACTCTAATGTTTAGTATCTCCATGCTGCTTCACTCGAATCCATCAGGTGAGGGGTGTGATAATTACACTTTGTCTGCTAAGTGTTTGCACATGCTACGTGTACTTTGGAAAAATGACAGAGATGATCTTGTGGGCTACCCCAGTTACTGCTTTGAGCTTCAGAAACTGGATTGAACTCCAGCCTTTTGGGTTACTCATAGCTAAGCTACATTGTAATAATAAACTTAACTTTGACTGATGGTATACACAGATCTTCCAACAAGTTTCAAAACTTAATGTATACTGTCGCCATTGTTCAATATTTACTATATAAACAAGTAAGATTGTACCTGGTGCTGGTGGATAACCTCCTGTTGGGGGAGGTGGATATCCGCCAGCAGTAGGAGGATAGCTAGGAGGATAGCCACCAGGAGCAGGTGGGTATCCTGGTGCAGCAGGTGGGTACCCCCCGGTGGGAGGGTACCCTGGATCAGGAGGATAACCAGGTGCAGGGTATCCTGGACCAGGGGGGTAACCAGGCTGAAAAATGAACAACATTGAAAAAATTAATGTCTTTAAAAGTCTGAGGTGTTTCTGTGTTGAAAACAACTGCAGATGGTGAAAAAACAGTAATGGTATCATAATAAATTTGTCTCAAACTGAATGTGATGTTCTAATTTGTTGTATGAAATGGTGGCACAAATAAATGAAAAATAAATTGTAGCATCCCCACCCCTCACCTCCACAAATTGCAATGTTTTGTTCCCCATGTTCATGCTATAACATTTTATGATTACTTACCCCAGCGGGCGGATACCCTGGTCCACCACCATAAGGAGGGTAAGACATATTTGAAGCTTACAAATCACGCTGTAATAAACAGAACACCAAAATTAATAATGATTGACATGTAAAGGCATGGTGGCAAATGACTAGAATATTTTCCATCATTATAATACAGCATTCTCTTTTATATAGCCAAAGAGTATTCACCAACAGTATTGACAAAGGATATCTTGCATAGTGCAGGGTTGCAATATTTCTAAGGGGGCATAAGAAGAAATTTACCATAAAAAATCAACCAATAAAAGAACATACTTGCTTGAGCAGGATAAATGCTAAATCATCAAACCTTATGAGCTAAACATATCCAATTAATTTGAGGACTACTGGTCATTACATTCAAAGACATAAAAAAACTGTAAATATTATTGCAATAAACCAAAAGCCACTCCAGTTGTCTGCTCACAAAATTATTTGGGAAATGACACAAGTTTACTTTACATTATTTAGAGGAAAAAGTGGGTATTTATGCTGCTGTTAAACCCTTAAAAAATAAGTTGAAAATGAGGGATTAGGCAGTTTTCAAAAAAGCCCACATTAGGCAAGGTGAATCAAAATGTCTTGCATTAGCACAGTTTGTGTACACCTGAACTGCATTGCCCAATCGGCGAACACATCTCCTGAGTTCTTTTTGTGTGTTCGTACACGACGGCTGTTGTTTCGATCACGGCTTGTCTGGCTCATGCACCAAAGAAATGCACGCAGTCAGGAAACTTTCAGTTTGATATAAAATCCCTATTTGATTTCAAAATATTGTCTGCCCGAAAACTAAAGACGTTTTTCTAGACTTACAACAGGTTTTCACGCTTGCATTGGTCACGTCTTGCGTAAATATTAGGGACTTTTTAAAAGATACCACGACGGCTGACAGCCACACAAACGTTGTATCGAAAAGTGAATTCACATGTTTTCAGTCTTTGTCGTGATTATTCCAACTCGCTTTCTTTTGTCAAATACAACCAAACTCTTCTGGAGCTGAATTTCTATCAACCATATCCAAGTTTATGAACAGAATGAATTTTGTCATTACTTGTTTACGTCATTCACAAAACGTGAAATTAGGCATTTTCACGGGTAGTCGTGCAGTTGACGGCAAAGTTGTTGTTTTGCCTTATCAAGCTATTGCTTATTTGACTTTCTCGTCGCCCCCGCATCTTAAACTTCCTATTGTTTACGATATGCTGCGATGGCTCAAAAACAGAATTTGCTCCTGCTGATAGCATCCCAAACGTTTTTTCAACTCATCAATAGTTCCTTCGTTTCTGGTTAGGAAAGTAGAAAATAAAAGTTTCCCTTGCACGCACAAGCTTGGTGAACGAACTGGGCAAGTGTGGTGAGACAATAGCCTTCGCGTACGAGCTCACGAAAAGAACTCAGGAGAAACTGTTCGCCCATTGGGCACAATAACACAAAGCATTTTTTGTGCCCAATCGGGAGCTGGCAACCGCTTGAATTCTTGGAAAAGGTTCGATGAGAGTCGGTACCCAGGAGCTCTTTCGTCCGTACTTGAAAACTTTCTTCTCGCCTTTTCTCCCGACCCGACTGACTGCCCCCGGGTCTCCGAGGATGAGGCATCCCAAGAATGTTGACAGTTTTTGCAAAAACCTCACTGTACAGCTTATAAATTGCCACTGACCATTGTCCCTCTAAGAATACATCTGCAGGCTTGCATTTTGCTTGCCTGGAATTATTACCTTTTTTATTTTTTTTATTCATTTTTGTACTTATTGTGGTTGCCCTTAAAATCTTATGAGCTCTTTGTAAGGACAGAGCTGGAGAAAATGGCAAACGATTTCACATGTTATAGCTCAGTCAATTCCAAGCGTGCCCAAAACCGACTAGTTTATAGTTCTTTCATTGATATTAAACAAATCAATGTGATCTTTTGTGCAATAATTCATAACCAGCAGCTAATGTACATGTACAACATATCCACAAATAGCTTAAGTACAAAAGATTGAAGCATAGCGAAAAATAAGAGGACTTTTAAATGCTGTGTCTTGATACCTTAATTATTGCAGCCGGTAAATGTTTTCAAACAACTAGATCACCCGGCAGTCTGATATTCATGTCCAATTTTCAAGAATATTCTTCAAAAATTCTTCTACAAAAATTGATGTTTGTTTAGAAATTTCAATTTCTATGCCAAAGTGGAAAGAGTTGTAGTTGTACCAGATATTGGATAAGTTCAGATTTCCGTGATAAACAGAGAGAGACTGCCGGGCTGCTCCAGGCTAGTACTCTGAAAACCTCCCCACAATTTGAGATTCGAATATGCTCAAACTGATAAAGACACAGCTAAACTTTGCCTCCAGTTTATTAAACAAAATAAGTTCCCCCTTATCTAAATATAAGTGTAAGAATGAGTTGCAGGAGTGTATTATCAGGTTTAAAAACTACGGCCCCACCATGGGGTATTTGCAGCTTTCTGAAACAACATGACAAATGCCCGACAAATGCCCAAGTTGGGGGATGGGCACACTTGGAATTGACTGAGTCATTATGTGAATAACCCAAGTACTGCCTCAAAAACAAAGCAAGAACAGCAAAAAAAGAAACACTGGAAGGATGGCAACTATTATATGAAGAATATCAGCTTAAATAAGCTCCCTTCTCATCATGAAACTGCCAATGAATAGGAAAAGGTCATGGCTGCTATGAAGATGGGAACGTTACAGACCTGAGTGTAGACAAATTTGAACTGAACTGTATTTATTCCAGGTCTGAGGCTTGTTTCTTACAACACTCCAATTTCTCTACGATTACACAGGATTTTGCAGATTCCGTAAACTCACAAGGCTTGTACTCATAACGTTTTGCTAACACATTTTCCGATCTCTTCCAGCAGGCCTAGCGAGCTCCTAAAGCCTTACGTTACCACGCACACCTGAGTTTCAGAGAGGTAAACTCATTTTAAGGATGAAAGTATTTTGATGTAAACAAGTGTGTCAGTAGACTGTTCACAGTCCCCCATTTTCCCATAAGATCGTGGAGATTGAGCGCTATGCGTTGCGGGTTGCCATCTTGCATGAGTGTCAAAACTACTAACGGGGCAGGGGCAGTTTGAGAGGAAGTGAGAAAAATAGAGGGACTGTAATAACATCGCTGCAGCTCGCATTCAGGAGGTGTGACAGGAATTTCACGCCTTTTACCATTCATTAATTAAGAAACTCCACTGGCGATGAAAAACATGCCAGACACATTTAACATCAATATTGTGTGTTCCATTCCTCTAAATAATATTGGCCAGCATGCACAGGTGAAACATTTTCCTAATCGAAGCGTTAAGCATGCTCACTTAACCACAGATTAAAACAGTTAAACCTCCCACTAAAAAACCAGGCATTTCTGACAGGCCGTCTTGAGGTGTTAAAACATTCCCAACCAGCCCACCCCCCCCACCTCTAATAAATGACCGGTCTCTAACTTAAAACTTTTAAATTACTTAAGGATAGTTTTGTTGTTGGAGTGTAGATTAGAAGTGTGATTTACTTTATATCTTTGAAGGATTTGATATTATGCAAATCTTGGAGTCGACTTGCATAATAAACTCAGCCTCATCCAATCACATATTAATATTTTTTACAGGAAATGGAATTTTTGTTTGTTGTTAAGTTGGAGTGTCAACTTGCAGTCATATGAAAAACACCTGCATACTGAAAAGGAAGCTCAAGAAAGTGGGTTGAGAAAGTTTACGACAAGAAGAGCAAATTAAAAGAAATGTGATCTCAGTGCACAATCCCCACAATTCAAGTACGTAAGGTTATATATATCATTATAAGTGTGCTTTCAAATGGGGGGGATCAAGGGTCTTATATCAGTCAAACTTTTAATTTCTCAGAAGTTCAACTATTCTTCAACTGAATCATTCACCCCAGTTTAAGGCCAAAAAATTGAAAATCGAACGTTGTTTGGAGCATAGATTGTAGATCTACGCTAGCGTTCAATAAGCAACAAGTCAGCTTTCCATGCTGCAGCAAGTGAGTAAGCCCTAATAAGACTACGATGACATAATGAGACAGAATCGACTTATAGACAAATCAAAAGATAAGATACTCACCAGAAAATCAAACCACCGTCAAAATACTATACGTCCAGAACGAGGAAACTATATTGAGGAGGGCTGAACGAAATCGGGGGAGATGAAAACACAACTCTTTTGATTGCGAAGCACTGGAAGCTAGGGGAGAGGCCTCAGCATATATGGAGCTGTTGCCCATATTTGGCATATTACGTACATGTGCCTTCGCCGGTGTCAATTCAGTTGACCGCCATAGTTACTTTGCGACGTTCAAGACATAGAGGTGACAATCTTTGAAGGTCAATTTTTCTGGCTATATTCCTGTTTGCTTCTCCGCAACATACTAACAATAATAAACGAATATTTATCTAACTTGGTAGAACTTCAGCGATAGCTATGGTGGACGACAAAGCAACAGCAAAAGATTTAGAATCATGGATCGAGCAGTTAATGGAATGCAAACAGCTCAGCGAAACACAAGTGAAAACGCTCTGCGACAAGGTAAAACAATGTTGCTCGTTTTTTGAGGACAGTCAACATGGTGTAATTGTCCAACAATTCTTGTTAGATTGCAGTTAGAAAGAAACTGGTATGGCAGACAAATTATTCCTCTTACAGTTTTGTGTACAACATGCATACATGACAGACTCCAGTCCACATGTAAACTAATTCATCATCAATCCGCGAAACGGAGAATGAAATTATTGCAATCTACACGATCGCTTCCTTCGCTTTAACATAAAATGCTTTAAATCTTTTATTTAAAAGTAGCTGAAAGACATTAAAAGAATACTTTGTTAACTGTTTATCAACCCGCATCCGCAAGGACTACCTGTTTAACAAGCTTATATAGTACGTGGTTTTGAGTTCATAGCTCTATGTCTAATTTCTCTTCTCATTTTGCCACTAAGCTACTATTCGTGAAGGGAATAAATGTCTCCTTTACTACTCAGTAGGGTTTCGGTTGTATATTTGCTTCTTTTCCGCCTCACGCTTGTTCGGCATTTTTCCTTAAAATTGCAACATTGCAGATGTTCAGCAATTTGCTTTACGTCACTGCTAGAGTCTTCAAGTGTGTGGTAGTGTGGATGATAAAAGTAGAGCTTTTGAAAAATGCTGAGTTCAAACAGCCATTAATTATGTTATTTGTCTCTTTTTGGTGTCCTGACTGTTTTCCTGACATGCCTTTATAGGATTTAGACCCTTAGCTCAGGAGATTGTGTGCTTGACATCAAGTAAAGAAAGCATTTTTTTTTCAGTGCTGGATTTATGTACCCACACCAGGGCTCAAAATTGCGACTGATGCGGTCGCCAATGCAACTAACATTTTCTCCTTGGCGACTAAAAACTATAGTTTAGTCACCAAAGTGGCGACCAGATTTCTCTATGATTTAGATTTAAATTAAAAGAGTAAAGTTAAAACAAACATTTCATCTTATCCTGCTTTGCTTTCATCATAAAAAATGTGCCAAATCGCATAAACAAAGCCTGTTTACCTCCAAATTTATACTGACTTCTATTCACGATATTTTCAAATCTGATGGATCATACCATTCTATGCAGGGCTTCTGATAGGTTGCGGAAAAAAAGTCAAATTTCGTGGGATTTTTAGGGGCAAATTCGAGGAAAAATCGACCAATTTCGCAGGAATTTTCGGGTCAAACTCAGCCGAAACTCAATCGGTAAAAAAAGCCGATTTTGTGGTTATTTTCAGGGAAAACTTTGTTAGAGATAGATTGGTTTTGCGCTGACCAGACCAGCATTTTTAATGTTTTTTTAACAGCTGCCATCATTTGCTCTTTCAACAACAATACGTTCCAGAACTGACCCAATGGCAAAGCCTTTGACATCATGGCTAGTGCCCAGTTTTTCGCAACATAATCTACGCCTGGTAGTTTCAGAGTTTCGGGACGTTGTTTGCACGTTTCAGTGACGAAGTTTCAAGATAAATTTAAAAGTTTACAGCAAGTAAATAACCCCAATAGCTGAGAAAAGTTTCACATATGTTGTACAGACATGTAATTGATAGGATTTCTACCGAATTTTGCGGTATTTTGGGTGTTTTTGTGAATTTCGCAGCTCTGCGACGGCGTGAAATATCAGAAGCCCTGACAATGAGCTGCGTCATTTACATTATACAAACTGGCAACTAAAAAATTGCATTTGGCAACTATATTTCTCCAGTTGGTCGCCAAAAGGTAACCTGAGGATTTTTTTAATTTCGAGCCCTGCACACTCTATCATTTATCTAGGACTGAGATCAAGTGAGACTGAGACTGAGTGTTTTGTTGTTGTTGTTGTTTTAACTTATATCCAGATTAGTGTGAACATTGGAATTTTGAAAATAATATGAAAAATAAAAGTGTGAATGAAAGAGAGCTTTTATCAGTTTTGGGTTGAAAGTGCAGTTTTCAAATTTTTCAGATATTTAGTGCTGTTTTGAAAATGAGAAAGAGTGCATTATCAGGGTTAAAAACTCGAGGCGAAGCTGAGAGTTTTTTGATAATACACTCCTGCAAGTTTTTTGAACGGCTTCAAAATCTCTGATAATATATAGATCAACTCATTTTTGCACTAATATTTAGATTTGGGGTTATTTTGGTCTCAAGGCTGTGCTAGCGCTCTAAGGGCGCGCGGTCACCTGAGGTGACTAACATTTGGCTTCCGGCCGGTGGAAAATAATTCCCGGTCATCCAGCAGGGTACTCTCGCTTCTCGTACAGTGTTCAGTTAGGCAGGCAGAAAAATTTAACATACTGGTGTTGGCTTGTCGAGCTAGAGTTTACTTAAGCCTACAGAAAATGTTGGTACGAAACAAACGGGCATTCGTTGATGTTCAAAGGTGGTTCTGCATGTTTTCACATCTAACATTATCCATCACTTTGAATGTGACAACCTGCACAGATTTCAGTTTGTATTCAAAATAGTTTTAAAATTTTTCCTTTCAAATAGAATGGTTTATTAGATACAGTTTTCAGGAGAAACTGTTAATACTTTTCTGACAGGTGTAGAATGCAACTGGCGACGCGGGGCAATTTATGTTGTATAAAACAGAAGTCGCTGTATATTGTTATGCAAATTTAATATTTTTACGGTGAAGTTATTATTCGGGCGACCAGTTTGAATCAAGGTCTGGGTGCCTTCACTAAAATGGTTGGGAGCCTGAAGGGTCCCTGAAATTTTCTTTAGACCACAACTTTGGGTCTAATAAATTGGACTTGAAGTTAAGTGATGTCTTTATCAGATATAAAGACAATCATTACACATTAAGGCAGAATCCACCAGGAAATTGAGTAATTTTAATTTTCAGTGGACAAAAACCTTGTACCAGAATAATAGGCCATTTGCACTAAGAGGTCATGTGACATCGTTTTTATGAAAATGAAACTTATATGACTTTTCCTTTGAAAAACGATTAATGGCTCATATCTTAAACAAAGTAATAGTGATTTGGTTTTTCAAACCCGCACCATTTTCTTAAATTGAGTAAGTGCGTAGCTGGTCACGTGACCAAAATGTGATTTTTAAAATTATGAATTACCTCTTTCTGAACACAAATTTTGTACTTAAACTTCAAGGAAAATGTTGAAAAGATGATGTAGTAACGTTTACAGCACATCTGAGTGAAACTATCAAACGTTTAACAAGATAAAAGCAAAAAGTAGTTTTGGCCGCCATGTTGGAGGGCAAGAGTATGCCCTCCAACATGGCGGCAAATACAAATGATACTACTTTGTTGAAAAATCAAAGTGCCATAAAATATCTCCCTTAAATGCGTTTCCTCTCAAATTTCGGGGGTAAGATAATTTTTATGTGTTCTATCAATTTTTGGCATCAGCAAGATTCCAACTCATTGTTTGAAGGAAGCATTAGTCACGTGACCTCTTAGTGCAAGTAGCCTATTTAAAGAATATTGCATTCTTTTTTACATTTTTCAAGAGCTTAACCCTTTAAGTCCCAATAGTGTCCAACAGCAATTTTCTCCTAACGATATTCATACATTATCATGAGATTAGGTTATGAGAATTAATAAAATGATCACGCAAGAGAAAATACTTTGATCTTTTATCAAATTCTCTCAACTAAATTCTTAAAGGAAATGTATAGAGGTCAGTTTGGAGAATTTGTATGTGGATATTGGGGCTTAAAGGGTTAACTCATTCGCTCCTGGAGATTTTGCCAAAAAACGCGTTTTGAAGGTACTCGAGTGGTTTTCTGGTCACTGTCCTGCTATAAAGAGCTTAAACTTACCACAAACCGGTTTACAGGCCATACACTTCACGGCCTTCTTCCTCTTCTACCCTCTTTTTTCGCTTTTCTTGCCTCATTTTTTTTCTCTTGCTGGGCATTTAGTAGGCTTCATTTTGGTGGAAATAGTTTATAGGAAAGCTTTTAGGATCTTAGGATTAGGTGAAAGGAAAGGTAGGTGGGCAATGGAACAAGATTTTCATGGAGATTTTCAGGTCAATGTTACATGGTTTTTTGCCTCTTTCTCCGGTGTCCCTGACTGAATTGTGCTCATTCTGGTATGGTTTGAGAGATCTCTTCACTCTGCACAAGTTAGTGGACAAAGTTTTCCTTGACTATTAAAACTGATGACGTCACAAAGGGTAGAAAGGACGTGGATCCGCACGGGCAGTTCAGGGGCAAATGGGTTAAGATGTAACAAATTATCTGTAGTAACACCAAAGAAAATTTCTCATAGAAGTCTGATAAAATAAATGTCAAATTTCACAAGAATTGTGATTACACTGTACACAGGGAAAATTTTGAAAATTTCATGTGTAAGATGTAATTCTGTGAAATTTGACATTCATTTTCTCGGGCTGTCATGAGAAATTTTTTTTGGTGTTAATACAGATGATTTATTATGTCTTTAACCTTGAAAAATGTAAGAAAGAATGCAATATGCACTAAATTATTCTGGTGCAAGATTTTTGTCCACTGAAAATCAAAATTACTCAATGTCCTGGTGGATTTCGTCTTTAAAATTTCTTTTGTTTTTCGTTTATGAACTATAAATGAGTTTTTGAAGTGTAATTAAGTTTGCTATATTAATTTTTGTATGTAACTGTTTTTTTTAGGCAAAAGAAATTCTCAGCAAGGAATCAAATGTACAGGAAGTGAAATGTCCTGTGACAGTTTGTGGTGATGTTCATGGCCAGTTTCATGACCTTATGGAACTGTTTAAAATAGGAGGAAGGTCACCAGATACCAATTATCTATTTATGGGTGACTATGTTGACAGAGGTTATTACTCTGTGGAGACTGTTACTCTCTTAGTTACTCTAAAGGTTAGTAACTTGATAATGTGTAACATAATGTCAATTTTTACTGAGATGAATTTTCACAGAGAACAACCCTTCTTGTCTCCAGCCTTGTACACCCAACAATAGCTTACCCAAAGGACAAGTGATCATTTAAATTTTCATCTCAACTTGTTCTACATGCAAAAACACCCTTACAAGCCTTCCTGGACTTTATTATGTCTCTGACAATTTGCTAACAAAATTAATGATTTCTCCTCACACAAAACTTCAATAACATATGTTGTTTACATTAATAATAATGGTGAAAGGTTTGAACACAGGAGTCATTTCATAAGTACAGTATGGCTCAAAAGTAAGTTGTCGGTCACTCACGTCTTGATCCTTGAACATCGAGACTTGATTCTTGATTCTCGAAACTTTCAAGAATGGAGTCTCGAAGATCAAGGATTGAGTTTCAAATTTTGAGTTGAGAAATATTATGAACTTGTCATGAGAGCACACTCTTTAAAAGTGTACACTTTTATTCTAAGAATTTCTACTCCGTGCATTGGTTGAGACTCGTTCACTTTCGTGTAAATGAAGCTCGCGCTTTGAAAGCGGAAATGTTTGCTTATGGTCTCCTGTTAATAATCTTTTAGAAACTTGCTTTTTGGAAGTGAAGGCATACATGTACCTGAGATACATGCAATAGTGGTGAAAATCTAGCCTCTGTTTGAAAGTAAACAACAACGAAACAACTTATACAAAAAACAACAGTATTAATATCGCTCGTGCAATGGTACTAGAGCTGTAATTTTTTCTTTTTGACTTTCTATCTTTCGTACATCAGATTAGCAGTGAAAAATGAGCATCCATTTGCCAGTAAACAGCAATGAAATGACGTGTAGAAGAAAGGACATTATGTACTATATACACCTTATTCGATGGTTTAGCATATAATACGAGCGGACATTTTGCTCATTGCTCGTATCGCAACTCACAAAATATCCGCATGTATTATGTGCTAAACCATCGAATAAGAGGTTTATTATTCCACTACAAAAAAAAAATTATCTGGGAATTGGGTTCTATTCTTTGGTAAAAGTATTCAGAGACATCCTGATTCTGTCTGTGAGAATGACGTTAACAATTAGCAAAATGTTCGCGCATATTATATGCCAAACCATTGAATGAGAGGTTAATTATTTTACTGCAAAAGAAAAATGGTATTTTGGCTTCTATTTTCTAATGAGAGTATCCAAAACATCCTGATTCTGTCAGCCACAGTTGCTCCTTTTGCATCCGCCGGTATTCGCCCTGTTGTAAACCAGCTAAACCAGGACACTACGGTGTATTACGGCCTCGTATTTTGCTTGTTCTCTTGACCTTATATGGTAAAATGACATAATAGTGGAATAATAAGTATCAATATTGCTCATTTACAGTGTACAGCCTCTGTTTGAAGGTAAACCATAACTAACGACTCTGTAGATAATCATACTCAAACCAAATTTTTCAACCATAAATCTTCTTTAATAGTTCCAAAACAAGATCACACATTCACATGCTTCGATTCGAAAACTGGATCTTATCTATCTCACAAATCGATACCACAAGGTCTGTCTGTCTGTCAAAGTCTCAATCTTTTGACAACTATTTTTCTGATTTCTGCATACTCATTAGCCTGCTTGCGCATTTTTTGTCACTTGCTATCGTTCTAACGAAACAAGTTTGAAACTATTAGTAACACTCAAATGATCGTGTTAACATGTCGCTTCAGCAAACAAAGTTTCCGGTGACATCAGCTAGATTTGCATAAAAGCAAGTTTTATAATTCACAGAGTCGCTTAGCTGTGATTTCAAATGAACATGATGAATGACAGGTTACATGTATGAAATTGTTCTAAGCTACATTTACACGTTTTCGAATGAACTTTGCGAGTGATAGGCTACATGTTACTTGTATGAAATCATTCTAAGCTGCTTTTACGCAAAAGAGATTGAAGCTTGACTAATATCAAATATACCAGCTCAAATGCTCATGAAAATGCTGCTTTTTAAAACAAAGATAGTTTGTGTTATAAATCTTTAAACTCATCACCAATAGATTAGCTTGGGCATTGGTGCCTACAAAGTTGGTGGAGCCGGGCAATTCTGTAGTGTGAGGAGGAGGTATCCATGGCAACCCTGCGAGTGGCCCCCACCGGGCACCGTCACGCTGAACAATTCAGTGGAATACTTACCGATCAATACTTAGCTGGCCCATACCTCAAGAGGGAGGGAGGGATGGGAAAAAACCAAAGCACAAAATGGCATGCAGACGGCAAGCTATTGCAACAACACTTTGCAAAGAACTACAAGCAAGCAACTGCATAGATATAATTCACGAGGTGCCCCTGCTAGAGGCGTCAGGCCATCCCTAGTATAGCTGGAGAAACTGCGGACCAGCAATGCTTCGAGGTTAACTTTGCCTAAATTACATTTAGCCACACTTATCAAGATTTGCATAAAACTGTGACAAGCTAGTTAGTTCACAGAATTGCTGAGCTGCACCTGCACCGTTCATCTGTAAAAATCTTTGAACGTGGCAAGCAAAGGCTACGTACACTGTATATGCAGGATAAATCTTTGAAACCAAAAATATTGATTTATGCTTATTGAAAGCTTGCCAAAGCTGGCAATTCAAACAGTTACAGAACACTGCATTGCAAGCACTGATCATCGGTGCGAATTTCTGAATGGCTACATGACTGTGCGACATCCTTCTTTCAGAAAACAGTAATTTCAGGTGGAAGCCTTGCTTCTCAAAACTCGAAAGTTGAAACTTGAAACTCAAGACTCGATCCTAGCGTCTCGAAACTCTTTTGTCAACAATCACATTGCTGAACATGATTTACAGACAAAATATCAAATCGACAGAGACTAAGCGACATTACATATTCTATAGAGTACTCTCAAAGACTCACTTTAGAAAGCTGGTTTACTAACTTAGAACAAATGCCACTGAATCATAGTCGACAGTTACCAGCACCATACAAACAACTTATTGATGGACTCAAGCAAAACTGACCATGAGAGAATGACGGGACAACTAACAATTTGACTAACAATACACAAGTGTTTAACCCATTCGCCCCTGAACCGCCCGTAACCGCCCGTGCGGATCCAGGTCCTTTCTACCGTTTGTGACGTCATCAGTTTTAACGGTCAAGGACAACTTTCTTCGCTAACTTGTGCAGAGTGAAGAGATCTTTCAAACCATACCAGAATGAGCACAATTCAGTCAAGGACACCGGAGAAAGAAGCAAAAAACCACGTGACAAGGACCTGAAAATCTCCATGAAAATCTTGTTCCATTACCCACCTACCTTTCCTTTCACCTAATCCTAAGATCTTAAAAGCTTTCCTAAAAACTCTTCCCACCAAAATGAAGCCTACTAAATGCCCAGCAAGAGAAAAAAAAAATGAGGCAAGGAAAGCGAAAAAAGAAGGGAGGAGAGAAAGCGAAAAGTAAAAGTCAAGACTGCTGCTTGCTTTCTGCGCATGCCCGAACTTCGCAAGCTGATATTTTGCATCTGGATCAGAAGGCCGCCAAGTGTACAACCTGTAAACCGGTTTGTGGTAAGTTTTAGCTCTTTATAGCACGACAGTGACAAGAAAACCACTCGACTAGCCTCAAAACGCGTTTTTGGGCAAAATCTGCAGGAGCGAATGGGTTAACTGTGACAATAGAGGGATCGAAATGCACCAGTGACATTACGAGTCTACATAGCCTATAACAGCACAGCTTAACAGACAGACGACCAATAAGATTGTGACTTAATCGACCAATCAGGTTAATAACCAGAGTTTAATGCCAACAGTAACTCAATAATACAATTGCAGTCACAATACTATTGGGTTTACTATCATTGGTGTATTGAGAAGGATTAGTAAGGAGTCAGACATTGGAATTGCTCCAACAGATACTTCTTATTTACACCAGCCAGCAACTGTACCCTCAATTTTGAGCCTTAAAATGTCAGCAGAAAGGTGTGGGTAATGCACAAGTTCTAACATCACTTTTTATAACTGATTTCTAAATTGAACAGTTTCCCCACAAGTTGACAGACTCCCATGTTTGCCACCAAATAAAAACTTGTATGCATTCTTGACACCTTCATTTGTCTTGCAATAGGTTCGTTTCCCATACAGAATAACTATTTTACGTGGTAACCACGAAAGCCGTCAGATCACTCAAGTGTATGGATTTTATGATGAATGTCTCAGGAAGTATGGCAATGCCAATGTTTGGAAATACTTTACAGATTTATTTGACTACCTTCCACTGACTGCCTTGGTTGATTCACAGGTAACATCTCTTTAATTTTATTTACTTTCTACATATATAGCTAGTGTGCAAGCTGCTTTTTTAGGTGAATTAATTGCAAGAAAAAAGGGGTGAGAGGTGGGACTGACAGCTTGCCAGCAGACTAATACTTCAAGTACTACAGCAGATGTGAAATAGTTCTATGAAAGGAGAAAATTTCAAGGTCATTCTGTTTGTGGAATGCAGTTATTATTGCCAGACTAAGAAAACTATGGATGCCAGAAAGATTTCTGGAATGGTATTGTGACCCGAGGAACGTTGCAGAATGGCACCTATTGATAAGTGTCAGCTGTAAAACAGGTCAGCATGTGGTTTGCTGTTTCCTGGTCTCAATTGTGATTAGTCACTTATGTCCAGAAATGCAAGAAAACTTGGAACTTAGGAAGGTCATATTTGATACAAATAATTATAATTATTTCCATATTACTTCATGTAGAGAGAGGTGAGGATTAGGGCCAGGTGACACTTCATAATGTCTATGATAAGGAGCGTGAATCACTGACATTAACTTGCAGTCCTGGGCATATCTGTTCATTTGGCCATAAAGCAGTTACTAAATATTGTGTTTCCCTTTGTAGGCTATTTTTGCTAAAAACATTTTTTATTCTGGCATACAATTTGAGGTTGATTAATCTGGCTAGACATTTTTGACCAATAGTAAAACTCTTTTAAAGACTGGACTTGACTGGCCAGCCAATCCAGGCAAATGGTAAATCCATGCAAAGGTTTGACTATAATTTTGTTCATCATTACTTATTTTTGCAGATCTTCTGTCTTCACGGAGGACTTTCTCCTTCCATTGACACTCTTGACCATATCAGAGCTCTTGATCGCCTCCAGGAAGTTCCCCATGAGGTAGGTTAGAGAAAACTTAAGTCACATGTGAAATGGAGGCCTAGAGAGTTGGTTGTCTCAAAAATGAGTTGTTCTTATAGTGCAGGGCTGGTACTGAGTTTTCATGTTGGCAGGTAATACAACAAGTTGGCAGGGAATTATTGTGCCCAGTGATTTGAACTCATCACACAGTCTTATGATACAAAGTGATATCATTCTGCAATGATGAGGGCACTTTGGATGCAGGGTTATCAGAAAGTTTTGAAGTAGACGGTTGAGTTATTAATGTAAACAGCCAGTGCCGCAGGGGGTGCCTAGCGCGGAAGGCGCAAGCCGCTAGACTTTAAGTAGACATCTCATCTTTAAGTAGTGAAAAGTTCAGCCATATTTCATGTTATCCAGTCCAGTACTTTTAAAGAAACGTCATTTTTCCTAAGTGCAAATAATACTGTCATACTCAAAAATACCTGTAATTCAGAGTTAAAGGGCAACTCTCGGGAAAATTACCCCTGTTTTTTAAGTTCTCTATGGTTTCCTAATGGCATGTAATGTCTCTCTTTGGTGAAATTTCGGATATATCTGGGAAACTTATTTTTTAATAATTTTTCGAAAACTCAATTTTTGCCGCCATTTTGAAAACATTCGGATTTCAGGTTAGTCACGTGATTTTACGTCACACGTGTGGAACACGGATTGCCAAGTGAAGATTACAAGAGAAAAACGCACCAAATTTCTCTTGCAAATAAAGGAGAAATAGAGCCTCTACTATCATAATAACGTTCAGGAAAAGCATTTCGATGATGGTTCCAATGTTTAAATTTACACGGGCATCAGATGCAGGTGATTTAGATTTTTTTCTGTATTTTTTTTGTTAGTATATTTTTGAAGTCGCGTGAGACATTTATCGACCCGAGGTCAATAATTGAAAACAGCTAAGCTCCTAATCTGCTACGTATAATACAAAGAACATCTTTCCTATAGCAGATTCAAAATTCTGATACAACCATTAATGTTACATGATGGGTGTTGATGCCCTTCATTCCTCGAAAACGACTTAATTTTTTCCCGGGAAATACTCGCATCTTTGAAGAGAACTCCGTCACAGACCGCCGTACCGGCCTGATTCTATACCGCCTTTTGTGTTCTCACTTAAGTGTGTTGTTCTCTTGTCTGAAATCTGCAGGTTCCATCCATTTACTTTTGCTTCTAAACACGCGAAATAAAACTCACTTCTCGCCGAAAATTGCGATTTTATGATCATCATTTTGAATGCAGTTATTCGAGATGTGCTCTCGAGATTGTAGCGTCATTCCATTGCAAAACCTGCACACACGCTAAAATTACATGTAATGGGCCTTTTAAGGATGGAAAGAAATGAAAACAGTTAAAAAAAAGTTGATTAAAATAGGATTGCTTCATTTTCTTTAGTGGTACTTTGTACCCATCCTACCCGCGAACACTATAAAGCTGCCTTGATAGCCACACGTGTCACGCTTCTTTTGCAATACTTTCCTTTGGGACTTCTCACAAGAAAGGAAAAAAGAAATTATTAACCCGTTTTTAAATCCCCGACGCAGTACTTTTGGAAAATTCCAAGGAGAAAAATGCGATCCATAACGGTAGCGAAAAAGGAGAAAGAACTAGGCAAGCTTCCTGCAGTATGAACCTTTTTATTGAAGGTTATGGCTCAAGCACCAGAACTGAAGGTCTTTGCTGGCTATTAAGAAAATTCAAGGGCTTTAAAAAACTACATGTTGAACCCGCAACTGAATACCCCTACACTACTTGCTGCATCCAAAGAGAGGCTCAACAGAGATGAGGCAATGGGTTCTTTCAGGGGCAGATCCAGGATTTTTTTTAGGAGGGGGTGCACTCGTCTCTTGCTCTACTTCAAAACCAATAAACCACATAGTATTTTTTTTTGGCAGAATACCAGTTGTATTAGAAAACCGCAGGTCAGCTCAGGAGGGGGGGGGGGGTGCGCACCCCCTGCACCCTCCCCCTAGATGCACCCCTGTCTTTCGTTAACAGATAAAATCTTTTCAGCCTTGTCAACTAAAGAAGGACTACAATGCCCTGCAATGTCTTGATTCTTTGTAGTCTAGGCTAAGCTAGGTCACTACTGCAATTAGTGACTTACATGACCATGCACTGTATGGTCCACTTAAACTGTGACCGGTTTTCTTTAATATTATTGCCTTATCAGTTAAAATATGCAAGATGGAAACAATCCATTTGTGAATTCTAATTTAAAAATGAGGATTTCCCATTATAACCTAAAGATATACAGCAATGAACAATAAAATACCATTTTATTATTAAGATATAAAGTTTCAACTGGTACATTATTTCCCAGTTAACAATCACACCTGCTGGAAAAAAAGGGTGACATGTTATTAGTCAAACACTATTCCGCCATTATTATTCAGAAGCTGTGAGCAAGTAGTCGAGAAGAATTATGTATTTCCCACACACTGACACCATTGGACTTTAAAAGACCATGTAGTCTTATAGATTTTTTAGTTCCAACAGTTATTTTTGACATTGTTTGCTGGGTAGCAATCATTTTAATGGCAACAAAGTTGCTCTAGCCCAGTCTTCCAGTGGTGAGTGAGAAAATTGCATCATATTTTATATACAGTAGGGTTATTTGCAATACATGGTATATTATATCTGGGCCCAGTTGTTCGAAGGCCGGTTAGCGTTTAACCCGGAGTTAAATTTAACCCTGGTTTCTTTTTCTTGTGTTCAAAAGCATTTTCTCGGATAATTTTCTCTCTTATTTTTAGAGCTTCCAATCATCAACTTGTGGACAAAAAGAATTAAAACTGAATTGCTTTTTAAGCTTTCAAATCTTAATTCAAATCTCGCACTAACCCTGGGTTATCTTAACCCAGCTTTGAACAACTCAGCCCTGCACAATGGAATCCTGTGAACTCCATCTCATCCTCCAACCTTTCAGGCTCCTGGAAATGAGGTCGTATGCACTTAACTGCACAGGAATCAAGGACGCTAATGTAACTCCTATGTCCCTGCCAAGGGAGCCCCAGTATCACCTTACCAATTGCCTGTAGGCAATGTGCCTGCTTTTTTTATGATCTGATTCTTCATATGCCGAGGCACCATGCTGCTGCTTGTATTGCCATGCAGCCCGTAACACCCAGTAATTCAGACAAACTGCCTGGAATCCTGGGTGTTCCACTATGCTCCTCTAGGTGGCTCCTCCATATTTTAAACTTCAACTGCCTCCAAATATTTACGTTTTACAACAGCCACCTCTTGGAAGCAGATATTTTCCCCCCATCCAATAGTACCACGGTAGTTATTTTCTTTAGTCATAAATATAGAACGTCGTTTAATGGAGGGCAACAGAACAAGTGTTGAATATTGACCTTTTCATTCTGCACCCAGAAAATTATAAAACTGCCATAAGTCAAGACAGAGAATATTATTTCAATTTTGAGCTTATTCACGCTTTAACATTTATGGCTTCATCATACTATCTCCTGCCCATAACCACAAAATAGTTTCAAATATGTACACGTTTTCAATACTGGGTGTATTATAATACAAGTTCCTGCAGTTATATCTCGTCAAATGCAATATTATTGTAGTTAACATAACCATTGTTGTGCTCCAGACAAAAACTTAAGTGAATATGACATGTCCCAACCTCGAAATCATATACTGGGGAGCAGAAACGTTTTATGCAAGCAGTTAGTTCACATGGGTATGGAGGTGTATCTCATCCCAACTTTAAATTGTCTCAATAATAACATCAGGATACACAGAAGCTAGAATAATAACTTCTGAACCAAATTCATTGACAGAGCAAGACACAGTAAAAGTAAGTGAACGACTTGTAGGAAAACAACTGTACAGCGCCTTTTAGTTATTATGTATAACAATCTGTATAACAACAAAAGAGACAAATTTTAAAGTGCAAGCACTCCACGAGTCGAGCATGAGCGGCTGTCAAGGGGCAAAGATATGGAAATTTATTTGCGTTGCAGTCAACGAATTACGAGAGCATAGTTATTGCTTCCGATATAAATCACTGCTTTTTGTAAAACCAGGATTAAAGCAGAAATTTTAAAAAAAACTACACTGAGACAACTTGCCCAGGTTATCATTTCCAGTAGTCGTTAGAAGGGGAAGGTACGCTTTCGACTACTTGTACATATGAAAACAATGATCTAAAATTATAAACGCTCAGTATACAAAAAAAAAAATGCGTGTTTAATTAGTCCTTTTCCTTTTACAATTTGAAGCATTCATAGCATTGATGAAATCAAGCGATTTACGGATCGCACTGTACACAAGAATTGTTCAAAACCATCTAGGCACTCACCATTCTTCACTATCGAGATCGCAGCGGGCGAGTGGTAGGCTCGATGTTTTCTGGCGACGCACGAACTTCATCAGCTTCGGACGATCTTCCAGGCGGCTCAAAACGCCGGGGTTGAATTTCCGTGAAGGGCTGCCCTATACTTCGCATTCTAAAAGTTTTTCTAGAACCGAATAATCGGACAAAGAGGTAGTGCTATCACTTGAAGAACTACAGTCAGCCATATTCGAGATCATCTGTTGTTCCACACCTGTGACGTCACGTCACGTGATAAGCAAAATCGAAGCGTTAATGGCGGAAGTTCGAGTAAGTGGCAAATTTAGCACTTTGAATCTCGATTTCTCAGCCAAATAGGTCGCTGAAGATATATTTCTTGATGGTATTACAATGAGAAAAACATTTGCAAGGTTTTTCTGAAAAATGTTGTCCTACGCGAGAGTTGCCCTTTAACAAAGAAAAAATAGCTCATTATACCGATTTCATTCTCTTTTGTTTGATCCTCTTTGATATCTGCCATACTGTTTTGTATTTCCGCTGCTCAATACTGTTGCAGTGCTCTTAAAACGAAATTTTGCCTTACCCCACTACCCTAGGGTGGGTTTTGTTTCTCTGTGTCTAGGCTGCTGAATTTCTGATAAGTGTGCGCATGAGAGGTATCTTGTATCATTCTAACATACATGTGGTGAGGCCAAAAAAAGAAGCGTGAGATGTGTAAAGTCTGTAAAGCTGTAAGAGAAAATCCAAGCGGTGGAAAGTGGGAAAAAAGGAGCTGAAAAACGAGAGAATGGTTTGGGAGTAGACAAACATTCATGCTACTGGCAAAATGAGAAGATGAGGAATATGAACGTGGTAGCAGAACAATATTGTAGTTCTTGAATCCTGGTGGGCACGTGTTTGAAGTAAAGTGTCAATCGAAAGGCTTACAACTCAACTCATAAGCTCATTATGGTTTGAAACGTGACCTTAAGGTTAGCTTTTTAACATCAGAAGTTTCCCTTTTTTTCTTACTTTTGCTTCTCTATACAGTGCAAACTCTGACTAAGCAAATCTTACTTTTGCCCTCTTGTTGCTTCAAAGGTCATGAACCTTGTCTGTCTCATGTTTCCTTTGGTTTGTTTCTGACAGGATTGATCTCAGATGGAGTTTTATAGTACTGCTACTCTTTGACCTCTCTTAAAGCCTGAAGCTTTTTATTGTGGCTAAATAACCTTTCTATAAAAATTTTAATTTCATAGGTTTTCTTTGAAGTACATGGATTTGTAAATCCACAAGCGTAAAGCTCTTTAGCCTGTGATCTGCTGCTATGTTTTGACGCTGTCGGTCCTAAACATGAGCGTCAAATTTCTCTCCTGTGGCCTCCCACAATCACCTTCCTTAGAAACAGAAAAATTTATCTTTTAATTCTGGTAAATCAGGCAACTTTTGAGGTGTTTTTTTTCTTTGATGCGGAGGTAAATTGGAAAAATAAAACTAGATATGCACATTACATGACCTAATCTTATTGTAGGTGGATTTTGAGGGTGAAGAAAAATGTTGAAAATTTGCCGGTGCAGACACCTTAACCCACATTTCCACCAAAATCAATGGTCGTGAGAGGCTATGCGTTATCTTCAGTGCTAAAGGGAAGAAATTGAGTGTTGAAGAATACATCAGTGATGTGAAACTTGAAGTGGGGAAAACATCTAACGAAAGCCGCAATTTTCAGGCAAAGTGGCTGAAAGAACACATGTTGTTGAGATACGAAAACCAAGCCGTATTAAATGTCATTTTGGCATGAGAGTTATTTGATTGCACATTTTTTTGGGACACATCATATTTTTATCTTTCATCTGTTTATTGTGATTGAAGTAACAAGTCATGCATAAAAGATAAAGACATTTATTTAGTTATTACAGAATAAATGTTACATTTGCTATAGCAATTAAGAAAATTGGCCCCTAGATTTTCTTGTTTGTCCCCTTCCAAAGCCCTTGAGGGGACAAGTTGTCTGCAGAGGCCCTAGAGCTGCCTTAAACCCTGATGTTTTTAACTATAATGCAATATTTTAAAGGGTTTACTACATTGTGTTTCTGACTTCCTTGTCATGATTGGACTGGTTGTTCAAAGCTCTGTTAAAAAGAAAACCAGATTAGAATTTAACCCCAAGTTAATGTTAATCGGCCTTTGCACAACTGGGGTAAGTTTGGTAAAAAATTAATATGGAACCTTGTAATGAATGATTTATTGCTTATGAAGTAGAAACAATATCTCCTTTGTACTTACAGGGACCCATGTGTGATCTACTGTGGAGTGATCCAGATGACAGGGGTGGCTGGGGGATCTCTCCCCGCGGTGCTGGTTACACTTTTGGTCAAGATATATCTGAAACATTTAACCACACTAATGGTCTTACTCTTATTGCTAGAGCTCATCAGCTTGTTATGGAGGTAAGCAGACATGTAGATAGGTGACTTTTCCAAAAAAATGACCTTATGTACTTACAAGTTTCTAATGTTGTACAAGTGGTTATAAGGAAAATAGTTTTCAGGTTATTCCTTCTATAAACCCAGATTTTGTATGTGTACAAGTGTATTTTAGATGCACTGTGACAGAGGATACTGATTTCTAATAAAGCCTCAAAGGTTAGGTTAGTTTTTGGTTATAGTTATGATTTCATTTTGGCATTCATAAAACTTTTTGTATAATTTTTTTTTTAGGGCTATAATTGGTGTCATGATAGGAATGTAGTTACAATATTTAGTGCACCAAACTACTGCTACAGATGTGGAAATCAAGCCGCCATCATGGAGTTAGATGATGCTCTTAAATATTCCTTGTAAGTTTTGGTTTGTTGTATTATCATCACCTTTTTGTCCCAAATTTTTTATAAGAAAAACACTCAAGGATCTATCTTGGGTTTTGTTTTCTGGCAATGCATTTGTACTCATTGTATTTGACGCCTGTCCTGCAGAAATGGTCAATCAAGGCTCTTCTTTGAAGCAATTTATTTAATCATATAGGTGAAGTGAACTTCTGAAACAAAGAAGAGAGTGATACCGAATGTTTTTAATGGTCAGCCAGTGGCCATCACCTTACAAAAAGACTTATGGTACATAGCAACATCGGCTAAGAGAAAACGTGACATACAAATTACTTGTGGGTATTAAATCAGCTGGAAATTGAAGTAGCTTTATCCACATGTACTTTCTCAAGTGCCTGGTGTTAACAGATTCTCTTTATTCAGAATCTAAGAAATATGAGAAGAGCAATGTGGCGATAGTGCACATTTAAGTGTCAACTTACTTTTATCCTTTCAGCCTGCAATTTGACCCAGCACCAAGACGAGGAGAGCCTCATGTAACTCGAAGAACGCCTGACTACTTCCTGTAGAGTGCATTACTCTTGTTGCTGTTGTATTGGTTGTCCTTGCTCATCACTGTTACCTGACATTTAGGATTTGACATCATCTTTGTATTATTGCAGTTTGGACACAAAAATTTAGTTAAGCATATACCTTTTATGTGGTCCCAACCAATATTGTGGCAATTTTTTTAGGCTTTCTTTCGTTGTCTGCCAATATTGTGGCAATTGTTTTTAGGCTTCCTTTCATGGTCTAAATGCCTTTTCTGTAAATTGATAATGAGGTTGGATTATTTCCAGTTGCAATGGAGAAAGTCCAGTACATGTTGCTTGGAGAGCTTTATCTCAATGTGCCAAGTCTATTTGTTGGCAATGTCTGTGAAAGTTTTACCCTCAAAAACTCTTGTCACCTGAGAGTTAAACGTTTCCTTTAGTTAGATACATATGGCCAGCAGCTCAATGATGAACAAATGTATGTACAGTGTAAAGTCAAAATTGAAGCTGTCTACGCTGAGCCTGTTTGAAGGATGGATAGTCGGAGTTGTAGCGATACAAATGCATTATTGACCAAGTCTGGGGTCAAGATAGCGGCATAACAGATGTTATTTTTTTTGCGTTTTTCAACGAAGAAAGCAAGGAGCCAGACACGCTTGCTGTGTCTGGCACTCCTTGCTCGCTTCATGCTCGCCTGAAAAACGCAAAAAAAATAACGCCGGTTATGCGGGGTAGCTTTTTTGAGCGAACACGCTTGGTCAATGAAGGATTAATTATAGATGGCCGAAACAAACTAAATCTGTTTTGCAGGAGAAAGTAGTTGATCCTGATCCCCATTTGGCTAGCAGAGTCAGTGATATAATAAGAGTTGTTATACTGTGTGTATGCACATTAGCCAGTACTATCAAAGATTCTTAATGAACCGTTAGAACATAGGAGTCGTTATTAGCAAATTATGATATCTTGAATCCCCTTTGGACCCTTAGAGTAGTGCTTTGTGGCAACATCAATCCTCCTGCCATAGCTAAATCTCAACCCTGTGTACTTTGAAGAGACATGTATGATAGCCCTGGATATCTTATTATAAAAGTAAATGGAATATGAAGTGATAAAAGTACTTGTCTTTTATCGAATATATGATTAATGCTTTTCTCTTTTTTAAAGTAACGTGAATGCGGGTAAATGACTGCATTGTATAACTAGACCAGATAAAAGTAAATTAGTTATTGGCTATGTCAGTTTGCCTGTCGAGCATCGAATTCAACAGTAATTAGTAGTAGCCTAATGCCCTTTTCAGAAGTTCAACTTCAGATGTGCGAAATCTAATGGTTATAAACGAAATTTATTGTTGTAGTCATAAGCATTTGATGTTCAACATCTGAAACTAGCCTTAGTGCTGTGCTAGTATTTTATTCCCTAATCATTAAAAGGCAATCTGTTCTTAGTGTAAAACTTTTGTTGTCTGTTTCTTTTGCACTGCTTATGATTTTTGTCTTTGCTCCAACAAAATTCTGTTCTTTTTTTTTTGAAAAAAATACTGTTGTTACAATTATGGTCGAAGTTTGTGCGGATTGCCCGCGGAGGCAAAGGAGGAGAAAAATTTCCTTGCTCCTTCTCTATCTATGATTATTGGGCTGCCTGTGACAAAGTCAATCGAAACATTGGCTTCGTCGTCTCTGTCGCGAAATTAATGGCAGCACATAAACAACGAACTGGCCAAACAGAACATCACGAAAACCGACTACGCCTTCAAGCTGTAGAACCGGACGCACCAAGATGATCCACTCACGGCGCCGAACGAACAAAAGTTCTCTGAATTCTACCAGCCCAGTGCTTTGCAAAAAACATGGCGAGTTAATTTTTGTTGACAACGGCGCTCATGCGCTTGAATACCCCATTTTTCGATTTTTATTAAATCTTCCGTAACCGAGGAGGCAACGTATCCCAAAGGCTTTTCATTTTCATTATTTTTTCAGATCTTAAATATAGAAGTGGATGCCAAGCTTTCGAAAATCTACTGCAGCCCTCAATGATACTGGAAAGTTCTCGCCGCCGGGCCAAAAATTTCTGAGGATGTTGCGAAAAAGTTGCTAATCAAACAAACCCTTTGGCAAATTAATCTTACCGTGCCAAAGTACATTCCTCGCCCCAAGTTCGATGTGTGCACGCCAAATGCAGTGCACCAAGCAGACCTTTTTTTACCGCATGACAATCAAGACAAGTCTCTATCTTAAAGTAAACTTTCACCACGAATATTCTATCGTCCCGACTACCTGCCCCTGAGACTGTTTCTGCTAAGCCTGCGGCTCCATATTTGCGCCCTGTCGGAAAAATGAGAAAACTTCCCTCTAATGTCAATTTTCGTTATCTGTATCAGCCTGGTGATCTGGAAAAGGGGCGGCAGCGGGCCACTGATCCCATCTGGTCTTTGAAAGTGTACAATGTCCTGCCTCCCCTTGTGAAGGCCCAACGAGCCAATTGTGTATCTGCAAGACGGCCAGAAACGGGGGTTTGTGCGTGAAGAGCTGCTTGCTATTCTGCCTAACACTACTCTTCCTCCTTCTTCCTCCAAGTGATACTCAACAGGCTCCATGTGGATCCCGTTCGGCAGCACCCACCGTTTGTCGTAATCGCACTAAGCCCCAGCTTATTTTGGGTATATGTTCGCATCGTGCCTTTCACCATCCTGAACCCCCAGTATGTGGCTTCGTCCTCCACTCCGTTCAACGCTGCCTCGTATTGGTCCCATGTGAGCTTGTTCTGCCGCTTGGGCACACCCTTCGATGACAGCTTGGCTTTGCCCTTCTTTCCTTCCCCATGTAATAACATTTACTGCAGAGGGCGATCCTACGGGTTCCTTCGAACTCCAGCTTGAACTCCGGCGTGCGATTGTTCCATTTGTCTCATGCAAACCAGTTCTTTTGCGTCGCTTCCAACTCTTCGAGACGCTCCGGCCGGACCGCTCCTTCGAGCGTTTTGCATGAGAGCCCCAGATATCGATGAAATAGTCCAAACAATCGTAATAAAATCGCAACATTCGCAGCTTGGCCAGTTGATACACGTCGATGCCCACCTGGAACGGCCTGTTGATCGTCACTTTCTTCTTTCGAAACTCTATCTCGAACACGTTACGATCTCCTCCAAGTCATCGAACCACACCGACCGTTTTGCTTTGTCGACCACACGTTGGTTTTGTCTGTCTTTCTTTTGCCTCGACTAGCTTTCCGTAGGCGCTGTTTCCCAACAACTTGAACAGCTATGCGAGGGCTTTGTCTCTTTTTCGCCTATTCTCGGTCACTTTGTTCACAAGCCAGGTGAAGATTTTCTCTCACCTGTAGCCGATGGTTCGATGCACTGCTGTGATCTTAAGGCCATGATCGAGGTACCATTCCAAGAGCAGAGCGTAAAGCAATATCTTCTGCCCTGCGAGCCACCCACAAATCTTATAGTATTGTAATTCGGTTCGCTTGGTTGGTTCCAAATACTCTTTCATGTGCTCCGGAATCGCCTCTTGTGAAAAAAGACTGTCGTAAAACAAAGGCGGAAATTCTTCGAATTTTCCCACAGCTCCCTTGGGACTCTTAAAATCCACTTCCGCAAAACCGAACAACATTTTCCTTCTTAGCAGGCTTACCAACGTATCAACCTCTTCGGCCGTACTCTCGTAATGCACCACTTTTCCTGGTCCGCACGGCATTTCCTGCAGGATGGTGCTTGGGTACAACGTATTGGCGTCGTAACCGAGCACCCCGCTGGCACGTCCGAGCGTTTACATACCTATGCGATCTCATCGCCGTTCTTCTTGCCTCATGCTTTCTAGTGAAACTAGACTTGGCCCGCCCACTACTGCCTGCCCCTTTGAACATCTCATACACCTTCTTCCCCGGGGCATACAACTCTGGGGCGTAAAACCGCTGAAGCATTCCACGCAAGAGATACTGCAATGACACACCCGGAATCGACACAGCGTCTTAAAAATGTTGACACCAAGCCCTGAGTAAAACCTTCTCATTTTTTCCAGCGCTTCCAGGAATGGTCCGACATCAAGATTGTTGTAATACTCTAACCAATCAACGAACGTTTTCATTCCCCTCTCCTGGAACACTCACAGGCATACTTCTTACTCGCTCTTCAGTTTTGAGAACCAACAACGATACGGCTGCAAACCCTCATAATCCAGTTTGTCTACACAATCAAACCACTCATACGGCAGCCATGATTTTATCTGGCGGCTTCCGTACGTTTTCACCCACTTCTCATAAACTTGTGCCGGACCCAAATAATTAATAAAGTCTAAAAACCTGAAACTCGGTGTGGACAATAACTTGATTCTTCCTTGCTTCTTGGCCACCGTCACCTGCTTCTCTGCACCTATATATGCGTTATAAAATACTTTGTGATAACATTCAAATCATACTTACCCGAGCTGAAACCCGCCACTGGTATTTGATTGTACCATTTTCGTATCGTCGCTTGCTTCTTGTCTAAAATAGCTCGTAATCTTCCGCACTTATCTTTGTTTCACCCTCTCCCTCAAAATTTCTTCTCGCCTTACCAACGCTTCTTAGAACTTTCGTAACAGCTCATTCGGGTCTTTTGCTGAAATATGCTCAGGCTCTCTGTCGAACGCGTCCGCCAGGGACACGGATATAGGAAAGTGCTCGCTCTCTGCTGTGGGCATCTCCTTTTCCCTAGGGTCCTGATACGCCTCAAAATCGAACACAATCACATTTGGAAACGTTTCATTTTGCTTGCATGGAAGCTTGCAACGCCTTGGCTACGGCTTCTCACGCTTCCACCGCACATTCAAGTTGTATCCTGCTTGGATGATTGCTGCGTTTCTTCACGAAGTTTTTTGTTATACATGTTCTCGTGTTACATTCTTTCCTTTCTCCCTGTGCAAAACGTGATCTCTTTCCGGGTAACATTGTGGACATCCGTGGAAATGACACCCGTGGAACTGATGTACTGTTTTGCTCTCGAGATGAAACCCGTCCACTGGATGCCTGGCGATCAACCGCTCATCTCTCTGTGCCAACACATTTGATAACTGATGTGGATTCCATGCCGCCTTGCCTCGATTTCTACCCAATAACAGGCAGTTTTTCCGTATTTACGCCTTGTATGGAATGTTCTTTCGTACAGGGACTCTGGCGCCCAAATCCTTTTTCCACGACAGACTATTTTTTGTTTGTCCGTTTGTGCACCTTGCAGCATGGTATAAAAGCTTACATGATTGTGTGAATCTTGCTCCACAGTGCGGACACTCATACATTTTAGCTGCCTTTCGAGGTCTGTGATAAAAGAAGGGTGCTCTTTGTGAATACCGATAGTCATTGTGTCATTGGTAGATATTTTTCTCCTTCTCCTTCTCCTTCTCCTTCTCCTTCTCCTTCTCCTTCTCCTTCTCCTTCTCCTTCTTCTTCTTCTTCTTCTTCTTCCTCTTCCTCCTCTGGAATTAACTGTCCACACAACACAAAGACGCTCTCATCCGTCACCTCGTAAACAATGATCTCTTGGTTGAAATACCTCGCGATTAACTGGATATGCTGCAAAGGCCAACCTTTGCATTTGGAATTTCATGTACTGCCAAAAATTCTTGTGCCATTCGTCTTGTTATTTTCAGATTATTCTTTTTGTGCGCTACTCTACACACTTCCAAACAACGAAACACGGAAATTGTAGTTGACAGTATCCAACGCATACAAATCCTTCTTGGTCCGCAGCCATTCTGGCAAACGCCCTTCCGCCACAATTACCTTGATATCGACCGACGTATAGCTGTCGAATGTATATTTTGTGTTGGCCCTAGTTAATGTTTCATCTAGAAGCCCTGCTCTTTCTTGTCTCTGTATCCAGCCTCTTGCCTCTCCAAGATTGTGAAACCACGGATTTTTCATTCCTTCTTCCAACCATGGAATTGTAATGTTGGTTTCGATATTTCGAAGCCTGTTGTAATACGATTAATTTATTCTAAACCGGTTTTGAAACATCTCTTCGATTCTATCCATGATTTGCCTGTCCAACGAACGATTCAAGTGTGAAGGATAATGCCATTTTATGACTTGTTGCCCTCGCTCATTAACAGCAATGTTTTGATTGGCTGGACCTCATTCACATACCTACACCGCAAAACAGTCCGTGTTTTTGCGTATTTAAGTACGCGCGAGCAGTCAAACAAAAGGCCTGGAACGACGGGCGTGTGAGGCTCGCACGCTTCGCGAGCGCAAGACTCTTACGCGACGCTTTACCGATTTCTTTACTGATTTTGAGGAAAAAACCAACTGTTTTGCAGTCTATCACATACCAGGCCGGTATATTGCACCTCGCTGGTGGGGATTTTGCGACGTAATTTTCCGATAAAGGGTCAAATTCTCGCAGTCTTTGCGTCCTTTTCCTTCATGGTGGTGACACAGGCTCCCTTTGCGCAGCTTTGGGCTCCAAAGGC